GGTTCTGGAAGCCAGTGATATACGCTGCAGAGCCAATGATAAGGACAGTCCCTAACGCCTCCCATATGCCCTATTCGCTAAATGAGCCCAGTATCCATCACAGCACAATAACAACCAGGCATATCCATCCGTCGGGGTATGAGGCTTCCCGCATCAGTTCCTCTAGGGGTGCGTCAAATGGCACCCCAGCTCCGTGCATCACCACCTTGGCGAGAATAGGATCTCGGCTACTCGGGAACAGCCCTGGCAACATCTCTTTGAGAGCCTGGCCTAGGATCTTAGGGCGGCGGTCTGAATTTGTCGCTGGTACAAGAGACTGGATGACTTTGAAGGTGGCCTGCTCGGAAGACGCTTGTGACGATGAGTCAGAGGCGGTGGTGGGGATGTAGACGCGAATAGGGACATGTTTGAGTGCTGTTGGTGCGTTGAGTAGATGGCTATTGATACGGTTGAAGGATGCTTGGTCATTGTCAATGACAGCGTTCCAGAGTTGGGTGGTGTTGTCTTTTGACATTTTCATGATTTGGTTTGCATTGCCATTGCGGATGAAGTCAGCCTAAGCGAGTCAGCTCTGCGTTGTCGTGAGATAAGCAGTTCCAGAACTCCGATGCGAACATACACATGTATCTGGCTGGAGGCTCGCATGTGGCATATGAAACTCACCTCTTTCACGCAGTTGAGAAAGGTATCCGCAATATCCCAGCCTACTCCATCGTTCACGGTCAACCTCCACGGCAGGCGGGGTTGATACAGGTCTACCAGCAATCCCACAGCCAGGTTCCTCAACTGCACATCTTCAAAGTGGAAGCTGGAGCAGGGCGAGTTAAAGAAAATCGACAGTCTCGGGATGAGAAGAGCCAGGTAGCTGAAGCGCGGAATACTAGTGATGAAGGGCGTTGTCGGTGAGGCGGGATGAGTTATGTGCAGCGGAATCCGGGCGTTCCATAACGCTTGTGGGATGGGAGAGGACATTATGGCGAGAGCATGGTGAGGGGAGTGAGATGTTGTGATGCTCGGTGAAAGTGTCGGTTTGGTGAGTCAAATCATAATACGTCTGCGACGTTCGGTGCCTAGGGTAGGACTCGCCCATGTGATTATTAAGCTGGCGACCTTACTACCTATGATCCCTTTCAGTTACGTTGAGTTGTAAATAACCTGCGAATAGGTGAAAAGTGATGGCAAACGATCAGTGGTGACATTGTTCTCAGATAGAAACGGTTTGCAAGCTCAGTCATTTGTATAACCCCAAGTCTAGATCCTTCGTGATTGTTCTTGGTAGAAGCGCTTTGAGTGGTGCAAGCAAGCAAACATATGACCGTTGGTCAAAATCTCGAATGGTTTGGTCGCCCAGGTCAAACAGAGTGAAACCTACTCTAGAGTTTCGTTTCATGAGATATCCATTTACCTCCTTAAAGTGTGAGAGAAAACAAGCACAGCCCACGAATCCTCTCTCAGTGTCGCTTCATTGCACAGTCAGGTTGGTTGTTAGCACATTTCAGTGTAGGAAGCAATGCCCAACCATGCTATCAAACTACAGCCCTCATATCTGTCGTCATCTCGTCACGAACGATGAAGCATTCGAAATGCCAAAGTACAGAAAACAGGCTTATGGTTCTTTCTAAACAGCGTCACATCGTATACAGCTTGTTCAGCTATGATAAGTTAAAGCGCTACCGATCAGCAACAAACTTTTGAAAGCTATGATCGTTTCGTCAGCCTAGAGGTTGCATGAGGTTAGGCAACGTCAAGGCTCTACTAAATCACAAAATTCTGGTTTATTCATGAGGTCGTCACGAAATAAGAGCCTTGGACGATGCAAGCGGCTCAAGGGTAGCCTCCTTGGCATGATGCGTGGCACGATTGGCGGCATCTCGGCACCTGAAGCTATGATTTCTTCCAAGACTCAGAAGCTCAGTAATTGTCCAGTCGGGAGCCAAAAGAAGAAGAAAAGGCCTTGGCCTGCGACATCATTTTTGTTTCAGAACAGAGAAGGGGTCCTTGTCTGGCTGCGATACAAGGTGAGGAGTGTCGAATGGTAGATGTTCACGCTCACCACACCTTAGCTGAAGCCTGGTCCGCATGACCTCATCTGGCAACTCGTTGTGCTGGTGACCTGTTATGAGCCACGGTAGACGTGTCAAAGAGCTTCAGGGCCAAGGAAACGGTCTCAAACAGGCTTCATTGGATTTTCTTTTTGTTGAGGGAGGGCGTCATCGTCATGTGGTAGGGAGACCCGTGAGTTGTATTGCTGGATATCTACTTGTAGTATCTAGATAAATAACGAGCCTCGTCCCAAGGCTGTTGCTTGTAAGGAGAAGACAGATAGAACAGTATAAACCTCAACTTTTAACAGAGTACCACAACCCCACTACATCAAACCTCTACTACAAAGTAGCCATGGCTCTCGATCGTGTCGTCAGCTTGATCCTGCGTGCTGCAGAGCTGGTATTTGCAGCCATCGTTGCAGGTGTTAATGGCGAATACCTGCACAATGCCCGCGGCGCGAGCTCCTGGCAGCTCGGCCGATTCATCTATGCCGAAGTCGTTGCCGCGTTGGGAATATTGTTCTCTCTGCTGCTCCTCATTCCATTTTCGAGCACGTTTGTTCACTGGCCTCTGGACATCTTCATGTCCATCAACTGGTGGATCGTCTTTGGTCTGCTTGTCGATGTAAGTCACAACCTTGTTTGATACTCTACTCTACTCTACTCTACTCTCGGTAGTTGTGCATGCACTAACGGCACTCAAAAAGCTCATTGGAAACTCTTGCGGCCGTGTATTCGACTGGGACAATGTGCATCCAGTTCACGGAGATCAGTGTGGGAAGACCAAGGCCGTGATCGCCTTTAGCTTCCTCTCGGCACTTCTCTGGCTTGTTTCGGCTCTCGTAGGCTTCTTCTGGGTGCGCCGACGTGAGCGTACCGTTGCCCGTGCTGAGGCGGCTCACCACAACCGCCGCCGGGGGCCCTGGTTCCGCAGCCGTGTCTAAGAGCAGATGCAGTTAGGCGTGAAGCACTCCAGCTCTGCTGAAGAACCTTTGGGAGGGTAGGGTAGTCGCTGGCTACCTACTGCTATGTACTTAGTGAGGAAGAGGAAGATCTCAGTTTGGCGATTTGTTGGTCTTGGCGACATGACTGGATTGCGTGGAACATTCCGAAATGCCGTGTCGGGTGGGAACTAATACGTGAGATGGGTGGATGATTTCCTTGTTTTTCTTTTTGTTGTCGTTTGAGTTGGAACTTGGCGTTGGACAAGGCAAAGCAAGCAACGTGAAGCTGAGGGGCGGATCTGGATACCCTTTGATACGATTGACGATCACATCAAGTCCTTACTGTGCTTATTTACTTATTAGGTACTGAAATTAATTAATGTATACTTTGCTAATATTTTTGTCCCATCTATGAGGTATGTACTTACTACAGTAGGTAGTGGATGAGATTTGAAACTTGTAATAGTTGGATGCTCTTGATGTATTTCGACGTCATTTGTGCGAACGCAAAGAACATTTCAAATATGAAACAATGGGGAACAGTGTCATGATCTGCAACTCAGAATGGACAAGGGAATCTGATTTGAAGTCCCTGATGTCTAGGTACGCGTAGCACAGTATACAGTCACCTGTACCGTGCAGTCCATTCATGAGATGGGTGAGATTTGGTCACAAGCACTCTTCTAACCCGTTTGATCTTCCTCTGGCCGACCTGATTATCATGCAGGAGATGTGCCTAACCGCGTCAACTGTTACTGTCCGTCTTGTTTCCATGATCATCGAGATCTACGACCAGAAATAACTCCTAGTCCCGTCCTAGGCACAGGGGCAGAGTACGAGGTTAACTACCTACCTATGTACAAGCCTGCACCGCCTGCGAAAATTGAGCGAACGGGAACACAAGCCACCATGGCATGCATTCCGCTGGATATTCCCGTCACTGTGGGACCTCGTGATCCTGGTTTTAGCCGTGTTGCAGAGGTTCTAGAGCGGCCGTGGCCAGAACAAGAGCTCTTGGCCCAGCAGATTCAAGGCCTGGAGAGGCATTAATGCTGTCATAAGTCGATTTCTTTGTCTCGTTGGACCGGAAAAACGGCCTTTCTCTTGGCGTCATTTTGCTTAGGTAGGTAGGTACCTAGGTACCTAGGTTGCCAGGCCTGGCCTTGGTGGCTAGTGGGACCTGCTGCCAACTTTGAGCCTGTGAGCGCGGGGTAGCTTGGTTTGAGAAGCTGGGGGTGGCCTGTCTGGACAAAAAACATTAGGGCTCGCTTCCACTGCGAACCACGCTAAAAGTGTCGCCAGAATTCGCCGTTTTCTGTCACCTTCTGGGGTAGCTGACGCCACGCACCACAGCCCTGATACACGCCACAGGCCCTAGCTTTGCATCATCTTCTTGTAGATCTCACTTTCAAGCCACGGAGCCTCTTCGTCATTCCCTTTCACATCCCGTCGTCTCCTGCTCCACAACATGAGCTTGGCGCATTGGAAGAGCAAGAAATCCCATGTTCGATGCTTGCTACGTTTGCTGCTTTCTTTCTCATGTGCTTCTGCCCTACGAGTCGTCAACGTCATATCTCGCGTGGCATGACGCTAGATTGTCCCTGCAACAAGCCTTCACCAATCGTCGCCAAGCTCAGGGCTAGACTTCTCCAAAGATCGGGGTAAGTAAATGCTATGACGCAAAGTGAGGTCGGTGGAGGGGTGAAACGAGTGAGGAGGAGAGCAGAGAGAGGAACGAGGAGACAGGCCGAGATCTGAGGATCGAATGAGTTTGGGCCTGCCAGGTTTGCTGAGGATGGCATCGAGATTGAGGCTCCCAGGATGTCAATCTGCAACTATATAAGATTCATGATATCTCTCCCTCGGAACTGTTCTTTCTTCTCATCATCAAACAACAAACAGCATTCAAAGATACCCAAAGCATCTTCACTTCAACTCAACTCCCACACACACACAACATCTTCAAGATACCCAATCCCTTCAAAACAACAACCTAAAAACTACATTCATCATGTCTGGTCTCATCAACAAGGTCAAGGACGCTATCCACTCCGACAAGGACAAGTCCCACGAGCAGCCTACTGGAACTCACGGAACTCACTCTTCTCGAGCTGCCAACGCTGCTGATCCTCGAATTGACTCTGACCGCGATCACCGCGCCAACCCCGGCACCACAACCGGCCACCACACCACAACCGGAGGCCTTGGCTCTACTGGAGCCACCGGCACTCACTCCTCAGGACTCCCCGAGGGTTCTGTTGGACCTCACTCTTCTCGAGTTGCTAATGCCGCTGACCCCCGTGTTGACTCCGACCTTGACAGCTCCCGCCGCACCGGTGCCACCGGGTCCCACGGCCTGAGTGGAACTACTGGCACAACTGGTGGTTTGACCGAAGGCTCTACCTACTCCGAGAACATGCCTGGCCATACCACTGGCGGCCTTGGCCACACTGGCGGCATGGGACGATCTGAGAACCTCCCTGAGGGTTCTGTTGGACCTCACTCTTCTCGAGTTGCCAACGCCGCCGACCCCCGCGTTGACTCCGACCTTGACAGCTCTCGCCGCACTGGTGGTCTGGGCGGCAACACCTATGACCAGACTACTACTGGCACTTCAGGCTTCTCCAGCCATGGTGCTGGCGCACACGGCCCCACTGGCACCCACACCTCCGGCTTGGGCGGAACTGGCTCTACCGGTACATACGGTTCTACCGGCACTGGGGCTGGGGCTGGTCTCGGCGGTGCTGGCTCCGGTTACGGCACCGGACCCGGCCCTGCTCCTAACACTGCGGGACCTCACAAGTCCGATGCTTTGAACAAGGCTGACCCTCGCGTCGACTCCGACCTTGACGGAAGCAAGACCGTGGGCAAGGAGAAGACTTTCCAGCAGTCGTAAGTCTTTCCAGCGGCCTGTCCCGGTACCTCGTACATCGACCCTTTTTTGACACCAATTTCCTCCAATAGCAACAACAACTTCGCCGGCCGTGATCCCACCGATGCCACTCAGGTCCCCCCTTCTGTCCTACAGAAGCATGTTCCCACTGAGATCGCTCATGACGATCCTCACAGCGACCACAGCCGGCGACACAGCAGCACTCACCAGGAGACTCACCGGGGTCTGTAAATAGGAACCGAGGGCTTAATGATGATTTATGGATATGTATAGCAGCATTTCTTTAATGAATATTAATGAATTATCTTACATGACAAAATATGACCGTGGCAGAACTAGTGATGTAATTGGATCAAGAAGTGTAAACAATTAACTATGGACTGGCTAGTAGTTAAGAGAATCGGACAAGAAGTTGAAGAGTATTTTATAACATGCGAATGACGGGAAAGAGTATCTAACTTAGTGCTTCTCAAATTAACGTATTTTTAAATTTCACAGTGCCAACTGGTACTTTTCAAATCGTAACGCAGTCTTAATATCTTTGACTGTGTATTGGTTCACTACAAATATCCTGAATAGTCTAGTCTCCCTGCCAATCGCACAACCGCTCACTGAGTCGCGTATTACACTGATCCTGAGATCGCCAAAGATATGCCCGATGTAGAATCTACTACCATATTCTTCATGGACGCCGAGTATCGCGATCGCCTCGCCGATGATAGTACTCTCGCAGTTGAGCAGAGTGAGTCAGGTAAGGTGCTTCTCGTCACCTAGAGGTAATATGGAAGATGGTCAAGAAGATGCCATATTTCTCGAGATCATTCTCGCTGGGTTTCCATGTAGAGTATTCATCACACCAAACAACAGCTCGTATGGGCGTATTGAGCAGTCTGGACGCACGGTCATCATGCATCTCTTGTTCTTTAGCAAGGCGACAGTGTGATGCTCGGCACTAATGAAGAAGGTAGAGGCCTTGTTTGGACGATCGGGTCGGTCATCAGGGTCGATTGGGCCCCAGTTCCTGAAGGCCAGATCCGCATAACCGTAACGAGTATCCGTAAGATAGTCTGCGCATGGTTCGGTGAACTGCGTAACGTCGGCGAGGATACCTGGCCAAGAACGATCAAATGCTTCCTCCTGGACGAACCATGCCTCAAGAAATCCCTTGCTCTTCTTTCTGAATTGGCTAGCGATGGCAGACAGGTGTATTTTAAGATTGCGCTTAAACTCCAAGTTATCAATAATAAAGACCTCGGACCGGTCAATGTTAATGCGAAGATGGCGCACTTTCTCAGCCACGAGGTGAATGTGGTTGACAGGGTTTGACATATTAAGATCCTCTAGACCAGCTTTTCGCCCAGAACGTCGGAACCCTTGACACGGCTCGCGAGCTCCGAAATGTCGATAGCATTGAACATACGGAGAGGTGCGAGAGAGTTCATGTTATCTGCATTGATGCTGTTGAGAGTGATTGCATCAACAATGTAATCAAGGGGGACGTTTAAATCCATGAAGATCACAGGTTCACCACCATTGCGGATGCCAAACTTGAAATGCAAATGTAGCTGATGGAATTGCCTGACTATGATTTCAAGACGGACAACGAGGCCAGCACAAGGCCCGAGGCCGAGTCGTGCAACGGTACCAGCATGGAAGCCCGGGAGTAGCTGGCAATCAGCACTGAGAAAAATATGGAACCAACCAGTGGCTTGATCCTTCATGTTAAAGGTGATTTGATTGTCTCGGTTCTCCTTCAACTGGCCGACATCAAGTCCGTGTAAAGCTGGACCGAGAGGCTTTTCGGCGAATGGGTGCTGCATGATCACAGCAGCTGTCACAGCAGAGGCAGACATGCGTCGCTTGCGGGCAGGGCTAGGAACATGAATTTGTTTCTATGCATCCTTAACGATATGCACGATGTGATCTGCGATCTCTTTATCGTTCATCATGTAGCTTGGATGACGGCAATCATCCACGAGGTCATCTTTCATGAGCGCCTGGAGACGCGCGACCTTGTTATCGAATGGGTGCTGCATGATCACAGCAGTTGCAGACATACGTCTCTTGCAGCTAGTCTGGGCAACGTGAATTGTTTTGTGTGCTTCTTTGACAATATCCACAATCAGATCACCGACATCTTTATCGTTGACCATGTAGCTTTTTTTGAGAGCGCAATATCTTGAAATTCGGTTGTCGACAGTGCTCAACGAGGTCATCTCTCATAGGTGTCATGAGATCGGCGGCTCTGATTACTGGGTCCCGGGGAGGAAAGGGAAGGCGGGATGGTGATGCATCGGCAAGATGAGGGCGAGCGGTTGACATCGGATGCGGAGGTAGTGTAAGATAAGAGCGAGGAAGAGGGAAGTAAGTGAAGTTGAGTGATGCGCGGCTCAGACTTGTGTTGTGAAGTTATATGCAAACGCGAGCGATGATGATGCGCGGGTGAAGAGAAGAGGAGAGGAGAGAAAGCAAGAGGATGGTGGTTTCGAACAACGCGGTGCCCAGGCAATGATGAATAAAAAGTGGAGTGTAAATAATAACAAGAAGGGGAATGAATCACTGCAAGGTAAGAGAATACTAAAGGCTTCAGTTGTTAACACTGTCGGGCAGCTGGCGGCTGTTGACAGTCATGATAGATGAATGTGGCCGTCAACCCCTAAGGGCCTCTCCAGGGGAGGGTACAACTGACGACCGGCGAGGATCGCTTATACATCACGCCCGAATATATGCCCTAATTATCGCAGTATGGCATCTCAAGGCATTTTTAGGGTGCTGCGTTGCTGCGGTGAAGCTATTCGAATACTGTGTCTCTGCTTCGTCCAGTCTCGGTATCTAAAGTCCTGCATGTAGCTGATGAACATGATGTGGGTGACGGCCCATGCTTGGTTTGGGTAGAGCAGCTGCTCATTTTATTCCTTCGGGGGAAAAGGGACTAGAAAACGAGAGAAAATAGTACCGCTGTAAAGTACGTACAGGGTCTTGGTTCGGATTTGACAAAGGGGAAATAAATATGTAACCTTGCAGTAGGTACATTCAGACGTGTGTGCAAAGATTACTCAGGTAGTAAACTGCAGGAGCATAAGTTTATCATAAGGCTCATCATAAGTTTATCATAAAATTATCCTAAGGCTCATCCTAAAGATCATCCTAAGGCTCATCCTAAGGCTCGTCATATGCTCCAGCCAACGTTGGGATTGTGGTGCTCAACAACGATGTGACGAGGTTTCGTACAGTATCTCCAATTGCAGAGATGAATGGGGGATCTCGTTGTGACCGATCAACAGGTTTCGGAAATTGGCGGAGGAATGGCCGACAGACAACCAAAACTTGTTCTTTGTAGGTTTGTTCGAAGCGGTCTTGAGTCGGCGATGCGAAGATTGGCACTGAGGCAGGCGGGTTCCCATCAATCATCACCGCGAGCTGAAGTGGGATGCTGCCTCGACGTTCGCTCCGGAGCTTGAGAACGCAAGCAAGCTCATCAACCGACATGTTGGATGAGCCGCTGCCTTGAGAAATTGCCATCATCTCGGTATATTCTTGGCTATCCACAAGAAACCGCAGGTCATCAACTAAGTTCGGCGTTGAGGCACCGTCTGGCATTTGGTGTTGCATGCTTTTCATGAGAGCGTACAACCCACACTCGAGGTCAGGGCCACCTTTGGTCGGAAGGACGCGGTAGTCCGAGGGCAGAGTGGTGTCACCACAGATGTCAGGAGAATGAGCGCCAATGATGTGCTCCTGTTCAAGTTGATCAGAACCAGGACCAACAGCCAGGTAAGAGACAGCTGAACAGAAGGAAGCTTCTGAGCACGTGTCGTCATTATCGACGTTCAACCAGCCAGTGGACTCAGGCTTGTCGGAGGTGACAGGATCAAACTCAACAGCAATAGTCAACACCGCCAGCAACGATAGCAGCCACGAGCTTCATGGCAGTGGTAGTCTTTCCTGAACCAGGACCGCCAGTGACAAAGGCATAACCATATGGAGCTTCCTTGAGACTTTCCACTAGACCCCTGACCTCACCATCAAACCTCTCTTCAAGGTAAGCACGAGCGAGGCCATGAAACCTGACGTGAAAGCTGAGCATCTGAGGCACAGCTTGGAAGTTATGACTGTACTTCCAGAAGCCACCAACAACAGTCTCATCAACTGATTCAGCGCGAGCATGATGTTGGTGATCGCATTGCACTCGGTACGCGTATTTTGCCCGTATGTGTTTATTGGTGTCCTTTACCTTTGTGGTCTGGAGGCTGAAGCCTCTTTTAAACCCCTAACCTTACCGCACTGGGTTCGCGCTGTTGTCTCCTCAGGGCGGTGGTACAAATTGACCTCAACGCCAGGATAGTATGGCACGGCAATAGTCGCAGGAACCTGGGTCTTGGTTTCTTTGTCATAATACCCGGGAGTAAACAGACCATTGAGGAACTTGTGAAATTGCCCAGATGGTCTCAACGTCCTCATCTGGAAGTCCAGATAGGGCTTCGAGAAACCTGGGGGCCAGTTGACCTGTCTACCGGTATGCTATGCAGATAGTAGAGGGCCAGGTTGGAATTCGTGCCGGGAGGAAGGGGTTAAGCAACTGCGGGGAACTCAGGTCCTCTATCCGAGCGACCATCAGCGGCAGCCATTTCGGCGTTGTCACGAACCCAAGTGCTCAAGCGCTGGTACCAGACAAGGTCATCTTCTCCGTCACGGCGTCGGAGGTCTAAAGACAGTACCTCGGCAGTCGCTGCACGCTGAAGAGAGGGAGGCTGATCTGGAAGATCGGCAACAGCTTTGGCAGGCGGGCCCTTGAGGAGATGGTAGATTGGCTCGGCGGCTGTTGAAGCGAATGCTTCTAGGCGTTTTGCTTCCTTGTTGTCTTCAAGGTACTGAACCCTGTCAGGATCATCACTTTCCGCAGCAGCATTGATCTTCTACTCAATTGACGCGCCGACATTGATGAACTTTTGCTCGGCAAAATGAAAGCGGTTGGTTAGATCGCGAGTGATCCGAGCAGCCTGCTGAGGGGCCAGGTCCGCCTTGGGTAGCTGACGATCACGCCATGAGATGCCCATGAAGAAGGTGCAGCTTGAGTCGGCATCTGGAACACCTGCGGCGATCTCAGGATCCATGTAATGGACAAGATAGTGACCTTTTGGAGTACCATCTGCAGGTATGCCATAGGTTTGAGACCGTCATCTTTTGGCTGCCAGGTAGAGAACGGATCTGGAATGACCACAGCTCTAAGAGTGGTGTTGAACAGAGTGATTGAACGAGCGTCTTGCATTTCCTGCTCTTCAGCCGCACTAGCGATCAATGTGACCGTGCGATGTTCGCCTCCGAAGAAGAAGGCAGTGCTGGGAGTGGCACGATCGGGTCTGCTCTCAGGGTCTAGCGCACCGATGTTCTTGTACGTCAGATCAGTGTACTTGGAACGAACGTCGGTGAGGTATTCCGCGTACGGGTTTGCGAAGACCTGAAGATTTGCGAGGATGTCACTCCAGTTATGGTGTTCGAATGATTGCTCAGGAAGAAATCAGATCTCCAATGACGAGGAGCTCTGTTCCTTGAAAGATGCACGGACAGCGGTGGCAATTTGTTGCGTGGCAGTAGGATGCATCTTCTAGTTGCGATCGAACTCCGTGCTGTGGATGACAAATACCTCGCTCCAGTCGAAGTCAACTCGAATGTGACGAACTTTGGGAGAAACAGCGGGAACATGCATCGCTGGCTTAGCAAGGTCGACATCTTGGAGGTTCTCGCCTAGCTCGTCTGATCCTTTGCCATGATGGCCAAGTCCAGACAAATCCATCGCTTCAAAAGCATGAAGGGTCGACAGAGCAATTTCATCGTCAGCAGAGACATCGACGACGGCGATCTTGTCGAGGATGGTGGCAAGTGGGATAACCAACCCAGAGATCTTGTTTAGGGATGAGCCGTTATGAACAAGAAACTCAGTGTGTATATGAGGTTGGGTGAATTGTCTAACTGAATCTCAGAGCGGGTATGGAGACCAGGACATGGCCCAACGCCAAGGCGAGCGACAGTGCCTCCATGAAAGCCTTTATGGAGTTGGCCATCAATACTTGACAGGTGATGGAAATGGCCAGTGGTCTGGCGCTTCATTGCGAAGGAAGGGTTGGAGTCTTTCTTGGTGGATATTGGTTGACCAATATCCTTCCCGGTGAGAGCATTGCAGAACGACCCTCAGCGACGGCCATTGCGGCGTTGTCACGAACCTAAGTGCTCAGGCGCTTGTACCAGGCGAGGTTATCTTCTCTCTGGCGTCGGAGCTCTAAGGCCAGTGCCGGAGGCTGATCTAGGAGATCGGCAGCAGCTTTCGCAGATGAGCCCTTCAGGAGATGGTAGATGGGCTTAGCGGCCGTTGCAGCGATCGCTTCTAGACACTTTTCTTCCAACATGGCCGCTGTTCTCCATTTTGGGCGGGTGGTCGGTGAGCTGGCAATAGCCAAGCAGAGTGGACAACGTGTATGTATATATATATAGGTAATATGCCCCGAAAGTTGCTAAGGTGAAGTCAGAAGGAGGGGGAAACCTTTGATTATATACTAAGAATGCTTCCTCCTTGCATACCTTTGTGTTTGTGGGGAAGTTTGTTGCTCCTTGTCACTCTGCCAGAACGTAGCAAACTGATCCTTTTGATGGCCGTCAGGATATTAGGATGATTGTCTGTGTGGACACTGGCGAGAAACAAACAAAGCCCTGCTATCGTCTTATGAAGAGTTTAGGTAAAGAAGTCAGCGTTTGTAAAAGTTTTATGAAGAGTTTAGGATGTGGCTGGATGAGTTACCTAAGCCATATTTGTTATGTTATATGTGTCACACATAATAGAAGTGAAGCTGGCAAGCACTGACAGACACTGGCAAATAAAATATAAAAATGACAGGAGCTTTGCTAAACAGGTAGGTAACGCCCTTGTGTAGGCCCTGGCATAATCCCCCTGAAAGCTCACGGGGGGTTTCAGATGAGCAGCAAAGCTGACAGCTGCCAACACTGACCTATTGTTATACTAAAGCCCTTAAAACAACCTATCCAAACAATCAAGGTAGTGAAGAGCAAAAGATTGTGGAAGATAAGAATCACAGGCTTGGCTTCGCCCTCCACCATCTTTTCCTCTTCGCAACTTCAACATCCGCGAGGTGCCAACTCCACTCACTGGTTGACATTTTCACCAAACTACCCAGCGTTTCCTCCCCCCCGGATTGCCTAACGGCCAAAGCAGATTCAAGGCTGTGCTAGAGGGCTGCACTCGTGGATTTGCTTGCTCATATCAAAGGCATCAAGGGTTCAGTGTTCCCGCCCTCGATTCGGTCGAATCCTCACCCTCACCCTCGCCCTACTCCCCTCGTCATCTCCTCTCAACCTATTGTTACCTTTCGTCAGAAGTCTCGGCTTGCGCTTGTGGCCTCAAGGAGTTTTGCGTCTGCTTCTGGTATGTCTCAAGCGAAGGCAAAGCTGGGTCATCCGCTGATGTCTAACGCGTCTATCTAGAAATCCCTCCTCAGCCATGGACGATTACCCTCCCTTGTCGCTGGCGGAAAATGTCGTATTCATAAGGCTGTTTCGTGCCATCTATCCGGGCTCAACAATCGTCACCGATGACATGAGAAGGGGGCCAATGCAGGAGATCTACCGAGATTAGAATCCCTCGAACAACAACCTCATCTTGCGCCCTTCGAAGCCAGCGTCTCCAGGTGTTGACGTACTTGGTGTCAAAGCCGGATTCTGGAATAAGGATTTGAAGCCATCAAAGCATCCGAAGGCATCTGAAAAGAAAGAAATGTGAGTGTCCCCTTGGGAGTCGAGCACTCTGTCACTCGGACCTCAATATCTAACACTCGGTAGAACATCCAAGGCCCAGGGAAAAAGAGCCGTAAAGTACGCTGAGGATGAGGCAGCAAAAGCCGAAGCTCGCAAAAAGGGAAAGACTGCCTATTTCGCTGTCAATATTATCCGAGGGACCACCAGGCGTTTCCAATGGAAAGACAAAAAGGGGATCATCTGGAGCGTTGATGATGTCACATTCAAGCCTGGCTGGGACCTAGACAGAGCCGAATTTGAGGCTAAGCTGGCCTACGACACGTACTGGGGCTCTGAGAGTGAACAATACATACAGGCTTCTGGGAACCCCTCCAACACCGACTCCCTCACTGCCAAAGTTGCTTGGACTGCTGGTCAGAACAAGCTCGCGGCTCGCTGATGATGCAGTTCGTCGCTCAGCTGCCAAGTTCCCAGAGAAGGTTGTTGTTCGTGTTCTCCCCTAGGACAAATGAGTTCGCCAACCTTTAACGCGTGGCCCAACCTGAACCTTTCGGCATCGACACCTCGTCCCACCGCACCGCTGGCAAGGCCGATCACGCCTTGGCTAAGTTTCTCAATGGCATCACCACTCGCAAGTTCGAGGAACCGCATCCCACGCATGTACCTGGATCTATCTCTGAGTTCGCTCGCAACATTGTTGAGACCAACGAGAAAGAGTGGCCTGGCGTTGTGCAGGCTTGGAAGGAGAAACGAAATGGCCCGGACGCATTCGCGGTCAACATCAAAAAGCACAAGGAGGCGTTTCGCAAGCTCATGGAACATGCAGTCTCTCGCATAGACCTCGCTATTGCGACTCATGTGTCCTTGGTTGAGTCTGTGTCAAAGTGTACACTCCTAATCTTTATCCCCTATCAGGGCTGTTACTGCGTACGATGGCCGTCCCCAAGGCAATGGCCCTCAAGGCAACGGCGATCATGAACTCCCACAGTATATCGATCCAGGGCTTACTCAAGAGCATGTCTTGAGCGATATACATGTGCTGCCCTATCGGCTCGCCGGTCAACATGCTACAAAGCACACACAGCTGACATTCCATGAGAAGGTCATGCTCTTTCTTGTCTTCCAGCAGCTCCGAGACACAGCAAACCCGCCTTATCGACTGACTGTGAGCGACTGGCAGTCTTTCCTCAACGCGCTTTTGACAACTGGAACTCCCGCTTTGATACTCTCGCCGACCCGGAGCTACCTGCCCGACAGGAGAAACAAACTCAGTTGGAGGTGGCCACTCTCAACCAGGATCATCCTCCTTCCATTGCAAGGCAACGATCCGATGATGTTGCGAGGGGCAATGGGCGAAAAAAAGCCGACAAGGTCTCCCTTGGGCTGTCACTGAATTACGAAGCTGGTTCAGTCCTGTGGACATGGTACGACTCGCAAAAGAAGGGCGTCAGCCACCAGTACGTGACTCTAGACCGTGGCAAAACCGAGGTCAGCATCCGCCAGGAACTCATCCAGCGTTATAACTATTGGAAGCGCCAGCGTATCAAACAGCACAACAAAGATCTCCTTGTGGCATGTCGCCACGCGCCTTGACGGCGGAACACACTTTGCGCTGGCATCGAAGTGTGTATTCTTCAATTTGACTCTCTCTATCACCGGCATAATCACAGACAATGCGCCGCCAACTGCTTTCACCTCATCATCTTCTATCCTCTGTGACATACGACCAATTAAGGTACTCTCGAATGGTACTCTCGAATCCACTCTCAAGTGAGTAAATCGGATATATTTATTCGACTACACGCATTGGCAGCTGGAAACACTTTGTGCTAGCATCATAGTGTTTACGCTTCAGTTTTACCCCTATATCACTGGTACAGTCGCGAGTCACAGATCACACAGCCAACTGCTTTCACACGATCACTTCCCTCTTGGTCACCACGAAGGGGAAAAAAGCTCTTCTCCGATTTCGCTACCTTCGAAAAGAAAGAGAGAAAACTCTTGCCCGACTTGACTGCATTCCGATATCGCAAAGAACTACCTGCATGTGCGCTGCCAGCTGGCAGCACCTGGCAACTCTCAGCAACGCCCTGCCATGAAAAGGCTTTTGGATCAAACAGTTTTGCCCTAAGGACAATAGGATGCAATAAATATCCATTTGTGGGAAGTAAAAATGAAGCGCTAATATCCTTTGCCCAAACCTCATCTTCATATCCAACACACCACAAGCTCAACACCACACATTGAGCTCATCACCTCAAGTCTATTCCCCGTCTCAACTCTCTTCTCCTCCTCGAGAGAGTTTTCCTTTCCTGAGTCTCTTGACCATCTCTTTCCCCATGCCGCCTCTCGCTGGCCTCTTCGCTGGGGGTTTGGCCGACGATGAATCTAAGTTATCACCTTAGGAGGGTATAACCGACGATGAAGGTGATGAGCGTCAAACTCTATCTTCCCGAGGTCTGTCCGACTCGGATGAACTTACCGAAGATATCGTCAGCAGCGACATCCATGTTGCCTCTTTTCGAAACCCTGCCTCCTTCGTGGACACCCATGCTCTGTTGACCGCACGAGAGAAGGACATCGTTTTCGTGATGCTCCAGCCGATTCGAAAAACAGCCGAGCCGCCTTACAGAATCACTTATGGCTACTGGAATGGCATCCTCAAGAAACTCTTTGACGATTGGAACACCAAACTCCAGGCACCTGCCGATCCAATCCTAACCCCCCCCCCCCCCATCAAGGAGCATACTTACATCACGGGTGGCACCCTCAAATCCGATCAGCCTCTTCCAAACTCGAAGCGACGAGCTTGCAGGACCGTGCTGGAGGACTTTCGCACCAGAGGCGCAGAAGCTAGGATTGGCGTGTACATCAATCCAGACACGAACTCAATCTCGTTCCCATGGACCGACACGAAAGGAAACGCTGTCAGCGACTCAAATGTCACACTTATGAACAACAGAACCGAAGTCGATCTCCGCCGGGAAGCCATTGAGCAATATGACAGTTTGCCTCACGAAAATGGTCAAGACATCCGCTTCCGCACCACAAGTTCTTGATCTTCTCCAGCATGTCCATGGCAACAAGGGCTTTGGCGTTCCTGGTCTGGATGATCCGACTAATGAACCAGCCGTTGCTCCTATCACTCAGTACGATAACCCAGCGCCTGATGAGTACAAGAAGGCACCAAGGTTCCAGTCCGAGGCTGGTCAGTCAGTTGAACCTGAACCCACTCCAACTTCCGCAAAGGTTGCTTGGACTGCAGACCAGAACAAGCTGGCAGGCAGACAATGCTGCTTGCCGAGTATCCAAGGCCTGTTCTGACAAGGCGGTTGCCCGAGTCCTACCATGGAAGCGAGAGTTCGCCAATCTCCAACGCGTAATCGACGCAGAACCTGCCGTGACTCAGACCGAGGGTCACTCTCTCGCCTCCAATGTCAACATGGCGGCAATGGCTCACCATCTCGACGCCTTCCGAGCTCGTCAATTCGAGAACTTGGGACTGACGAGCAGGTCGATGTTGTGTCTGATGATGAGGAACCAGGCAACGAAAGTGGCAATGAGGGAGCTGATGATGGTATCGGCTGGTAAAGGGACGGACGCAATGTTGTGATGTGTATGAGTTTTTTAAAAAAACGGTGAAGGTGAACAGGTACAAAGGATTACAGATAATCAGCTGGCAGTCAGTATTTTGGTCTTGCAATTTGTAGTCGTGAACAATCCTTTGATTCTCAATGCTATCCGAAGTGATATTCCCAATTCAATGCATTCGCAATTAACTTTTCATCTATCTTTTATTCCTACTCCCGAAATAAGTGCCGTCCCATGTTGCCGTTCCTGGGAAATTGCCCAAAACACCAAACGACGGAACCCGATTCCAGCCCATTTCCCTTTAACCGGAAGCATGATATCGCAAAGAAACAAAACCCAGCAAACAGAAGGAAGAAAACGGAAAAAGAACAAGGAAATCCGAGTCTCAAAAATCTCAAATGTGGTCAGTTTCCCGGTAATACCAACCAATAAACCTATTTCCCAGTCATGTCAAACCCAGCATTCGTTCGTATCGAAACTCCAAGTGAAGGGGACTGCAAGTGATCAAAGAGCCGCCATTCTCTGCGCGCACATCGCTCTATGTGCCTCAATCTTCGCGATTGTGGCATCGTCAACATCCCGAGTCAGCGGCTTCATCATAAGGTCACCGAGCAGATGTTCGCCACCGAGTGGGAAGGCTGAGCCCTTTGCCTTAGCCTCAGCGAACTTTCGTAGCATAGAACGACCCGTAACGATAGTAAGATCGCGATTGGAGGACCTCATTGCATTCTCCCAGTATAAATCGTGTCTGAACTTGGCTTCGAATTCGGCTAGAGTCATGTCCCAGTCAGGCTGGAGCTTAACCTTGTCAGAGGCACCGATCTTTCCTTTCGCATCTTTCCAACTGAACTGTAGAGAAAACCCCTTGTTAACAGTGACAGTGTAATATGCCGGTTGGCATTTCTTGCGAGCTTCGTCTTGCTTGAGCAGTTCAGCGTCCCATTCGCTAGCCCTTTTCGGTCCCTTGTTACTCCTGGAATGAATTAGATGAATAAGAATCGGCCAAGGCATGCTACCAGACTTCATTAGGGGTGCTAGATCGAGACGCACGTTCGCTTCGGGGGTATAGATGATGTTTTGGGTATGCCCAAGTCCTCACTTACTCCAAAAGCTGGCTGGCACTCCAATCCGGTTTATCGGAGGAGATCGAGGTTCCGCAGGAAAATAGACGGTGCTCACATCCAAAGGATCCTCGTTTCGATATATTTCCTGCATCAAGCCCTGCTTCGTGTCAAGGGTAACAGGGATCATCAGCTCCCTCATCACCTGCTTCCTCGTTGCCTGCTTCTTCATCATCAGACACATCATCGCCCTGTTCATCAGTCCCAAGATCCTCAACGTCTTGGTCCTTCCTGTCCTTGCGAAGCGCATACAGAGCATCACGATAGGCCTTGCGCATTGCGTCCTGCTGTTTGTTGGCCTTAGCGAACGCTTCCTCGCGAGTGGTAGATCGCTTCGAATCGGAGAAGTTGACCCGTGGAGGGTTGAGAACATTTCGCTGAATGCCACCGTCAGCAGTGATCGGTTCGGATGTGGATGTCGAGATGGCATCCTCCTCCGCGCGAGGACAGTTGCGAGTCGCGTGGGGTGCTCCATCACACCGAACACACTTCGGCTTGAATTTGCAGTTGGTAGCGAGATGACCGGGCTGACAGCAGTTCTGGCACGTCAAGTCCCAATGGCAGCGGTCCCTGAGATTGATGACTGCTTTTCGTTCCTCGAGGAAAGCAACGAGGTGGTTCAAGGGCCACTCAAGAGGAGTCTTTTTGCCCGGGCCTATCACGAACTGACCAATACGAGCACGGGTCATACCGACATTCATGCGAGGGGGCTCGTTGATGAAACCCTTCCTCAGAGTGCGCACCAAGTCGAGGGCGACGACATCCGCTTCATGACTGGGTGAGTCGTCAACAGTTCGGACTTCAACCAGATCCAGAGGGACTTCGGCCTTGGCCAATTGTCACAGCAGGAGTTCATACAAGTATTTCTGCTCTTTGTATGGAGTTATGATGAGAACAGTCCCGCGCTTGGAGAAGTCAAGAGCGTCGACAAGAGCTGGACGACGAGCTGCACCGCGAAGTTGGCGTTGGCACGGTTTGCTAAACTGTTTCCGCTCTTCGACTCTTCAGAGTTGTCGGGTCGAATCAACACTGTTGTCGAGAGACAGCCCCATGAAGACACCTGAGAAGCATCTGTCATCGTCCAGAGTGGTATTCAACTACGTATTGAAGCGAGTTGAGCCGAAGGTGCCGAGTTTCATTTGCACCTCTGCCCGAAGATGGACAATCCAATTCGTAGAATCTGGGTTTGCCCCTTTCATAGACATCGTTAACAATGATTGTGATTTGTGCTCTTCTGTTGTTGCCCGCGAAACCAGGGGTGTTTTATTTGCCTCTTCAGCCCACTCGATCACACAGAGTTTCTCGACTTCTCTGGGGATCACGGCCTTGTGGGCATGATTGGCTTTGACAAGGACAGTACTGTACGTCAGAAACTCCTCGTCAGAATCAACGCCGTTGAAACTGCTCATGTTATCTTCGAAATTTTGGTTCGCAAGAGTTCCCGCTTTACGGCATCCTTTGGTGCGCGAGACCTTGAGAAGAGAGGTAGAAGCTTGTGCTCTTTTATCAGTATTGAACTGGCGTGCAACTTGGAGGCCCCTTTCAGTTCCAACAGAGTCATCATCCCGATCAACTTCCCGGTCTGGCATGTAGTCATCACCCACACCATCGTTGACAGTCCCCAGGATAGATTGCTGGAGCTCGCATCGGCCAAAGAAGGCAATGTTGGATGCCATACACCAGGAGAGGTAAAGATCCGTTTCTTGAACTTGGTTATTATGAACTGCACCTAGGGTCTTCATGTTCCTGTGAGTTTTGGCTTTGAGAACTCCAGAGGAAAGGATCAATTTCTCGTATTTGAAATCATATTTAGAGTTGGTGCAACTTCAGTGCCATCACGCATCCATTTCTTGATGGCTTGGCCGCTGTAGGGGATATGGAGCTTGTGGTCAGACCCGACAATTGAGATGTGCTCAAAGTTCAATCACGGCGTGGCGCGCCTCGAGAAACTCCCCGAGATGACGGATGGGGTGGACGAGGGAAACTTTGCTGCCCGGACCGATGAAAAATGAACCGACTGTGCGCGAGAGGCTGACACATTGATTCGCTGGGCGTTCTTGAGGAACCCGTGCTTGTCAGTTCGAGTGAGATCGATAAAGACGTAGTCAGCCTCGTGACTGAGAGAGTCATCAATGGTACGGACGTCGATGAGTGACTTGGGCAGCTCAGCAGATGCGACCTGATCCAACAAGAATTCGTCATCATGCATCTTCGAACGATAAGCTGCGATGGTAAGAACCGAGGCCCTTCGCGACTCGTCTCGCACGTGGACAGGTTTGAACGATCGATAAAACCGGATGATCAGCTGGATGGTGAAGTTTGCGTTGCCATCATTATAGAACGAGGTGCCGTGGGGTGCCTCCGAGCAGTTGTCAGGTCGAATCATGATGGTGGACGACGTTGTATGGAAGCTTGCAAATTCCTTTGCCAACCCAGCCAGTGACGATTCGGGTGGCCGGAGTGTGGTTGCGGTTCACCACTGTCATCTCGTTGCCATAGAACATGTTCTGTGCGTGGACGTAGGCACTAAAATTCCGGCGCAGTCGGAAAGTGATTTGCCCAGCGCTCTCCATTCGATGGAAGAGGCTGGTTTCTCTTTGATGAAATAAGACTGCTTTGATATCATCTTGATCAACAGTGAGACCAATGGGCCCAAATTGTTGTGTGTCGCCGATGAAGATGCTCAAGGCGGAGAAGCGGACACCAAAATAAATTTAGTAAAGACTCCCCTAAACTTAGACTAAATTACCTAAGTCTTTTCATCACTTAGGATAAAGATTTCAAGTTTTCTTGCCTTCCCCTGAAAGGCCAGCGTGCGAACTTCGTGCTGGCCTCACAGTGTGTTCGGTGAACCACAGTCATGCTGTCACCATGGAACATGGTTTGAGCCCATGAGACAGCGTTGACACGCGCATGATAGTTTCGATGGAGGCGTGCTAGGATTCTGCCAGGATTTTCCATACGATGGAAAAGGCTGATCTGCCTCTGGTAGGAGAAGGCAGCCTTGAAGTCAGGCTACCTAACAGAAAGTCCGATAGGCGGCAATTGCTGAGTATCGCCGATGTTTATAAAGAATGCAGACTGCCATTTAGCTTAAAATGCGAGCGATAGATCCTCAATCGGGCGAGTAGCTTCATCCACGACGATCAGCTGTAGGGCGAAATCGGTATGCTGACCAAGGTCGACCAGAGCAACTGGAGTGCCGTCGACAATGTCAAGTGGTGGCACCGCATACACCATCGGCGTGCGAATCTCAGCAGGAGTGCGCTATGAGCCGCACCACTGACGACCTTATTCTGAGCAGCAGTCCAGGCAACTCTGGGGCTGCTGGAGCTCTGATCAAATGATCAGCCGTCGATATCCTTTGCAGACATGAAGCCTTCTGCCTGTTTGTACTCGCCAAACTCGGGCTCCTCATACTCCGGGAAAGGCGCAGTTGCTTCTTCATGTCCATCGATGACAGGAACACTGACCAGGCCTTCGACGTGTGCCATGCTTTCGGGAGCTTGGTCTCCGTGACTAGCTTCTGTAGAAGGCAAGCTTGAAGTGAGCAGCTTCGCACCTGAGAACTAGTTCATGTCAGTGTCGGAGAGCTCCACGGCGTTGTCGTTATGGGTCCAGATTGTAGTGCAATCATGGATCTGTGAGAAAGTGCAACTGTAGCTGGGCACGCTGGGGTCTTGGTCCTAAATGACAAAAAGACTTAGGTAACTTAGCATAAGTTTAGGATAAGTTTAGGATGAAATTAGGATACCTTTTGCTGAGTTTGTTTTGACACTCTTTATTAAGGTCTGGTGTGACATTCTCCTGACGATGACATACGAGGCACACTGGAGGCTAGCACCACTTGCGTGGGCACAACTTCATAACGAGGGATCGCTGGGAGATCAGACTTGTCATCAATGTGTGCATCCGAAGTGTCAGACTCATCACGGATGGGAGGTTGAGGAGTTTGCCAGTCATCCGTAGCAGGCGGTGGTGCACCCCAGCCATCGTCAGAAGATGTCCCACTCTTCTTCATATGAGGATGCATAGTAGAGAGCTATGTTTGCCTGGCGCCAGCAGGGTTAGGAACTCGAACTCCATGGTGCTCAGGGCCTCTGTCCATAGCGGCACTCTTGGGGACATGAGTGACAAATGGGCTGGTGCATTGCCCATCGATAGATGCTTCGAGGTCGGCAACTTTGTAGTTATCTTTTTTTTCTTGCAGGCGTTGTTGATCTCAACCTCAATTGAAGGGCGATGCTTGGACGCTTTCTCTTCACCGAGGCGGAAGGCATTGGTAATGTCGCGAGTGATATAGCCAACCTGCTTAGCAGAAAGGGCATGCTTTGGAGGGACACGTTCGCGATATTCAGCGGGTAGGGAAAAGGCAACAGGCGCTCCGCCATCAGGCACCATTTCAACAACATTGGGATTCAGATAATGGGCAACCTAGTGGGGAGCATTGTTGGTACCGTCGGTCCTAGTACCACAGACGTCCCGGTCATCATCGTTTGGCTTCAAAGGGGAGAAGACAACGATGTCGCAAGATGCTTAATCAGAATTCGGCGAGTTGGCTCGTTTTCAGGGCGGCTTGCATGCGCAAAGATATTCTGAAAGTTTCTGGAGAAGACAACATCAAAGTTACTCTCTTTCTCTCTCCGCTTGGATTCGTCAAGAAACTGCTCCGCATCATATAAAGCGTGCAAGAGCTAAGAGCCCACCTATCGTGGTAGATCAGATAGTGCTCTCGAAGCGTTTTGAGGAAAACTTACCATTGAAATCAAGTCTCGCCTCAGAGAGCTAGAGAGGCAGTGCCGCATCAATAACTCTTCGTGGACCACAAAAAGCTCCTGTGCAAAAGGTCTCTGCTCCAGGTACGAGTTTCGGGGGATATTTATGTCATCTCCAAGGTCCATGGCAATAAAGACGATGAAATGTTTTGCTTTGAGAGCTCAGTCCATAAATAAAGAAAATAAGAGATATGAGCAAGTGAGAAAATACCAAAGGCCAAAATCAAAAGAAGAAAGTGGGGATGAAGCGGCTTTATAAAATCAGAAGGCGTTTGCTTGCGAGTGATTGCAGCTGGCGGTTCACCCAAGTGCCTAAACACAATATATCAACTATATTATTCCAATACTGGGTCGGTACCTTGCCTTGCTTACCTGCCTGGCACCCGGGGCATAGGAAAACTTCTGACATTGAGCATAGCCTGAGTGGAATCATTGGAACATATTGTGAGCCAGTGACCTGAGCTTGGGGATAAAGCCATTGAAAGATGGTCGGTCTCTTGAAGGATGTTTGTAGCTACATATACCGATGGCAAACCAATACCGTACTCAAAACACAAACACACACAAGGAACCGAATGTGATCAAACCAAGTCAAATATCTAGGCGCGGTGTGCGCCAGAGTGAATAAGTCGTATGGCGTAGATATAGCGATTCCATGATATCAACCTCACACAACCAACATTCAATCCTTTCGGCCGCCCTTCCAAGTGCAAGCCTAAGCCTCGTACTAGTTTCACAACCATATACTCCCATTTTAATCCGCCCTAACGCCACGCGCAATGCAAACTGAGCCCAACAACCTCGGGATATAATACCACACGCTTCGTGCCCATCTATCTATTAGAGGGTCCCGACCATCAGACTCTCGAGCATACCCCCGGTCTGGCATGCTACCTGGGCTCTCTCCACCTCGACCCTAACTCGGCGGTGTAAAGTCCTAAAGCCTTCATGCAGCTCTGCTGAACCACCTACGAACTCTGCGTAGAGCTCGAGAAGGTGGAGACCAACTTCTACGCAGACACTAACATATCGGGGGTCGCAGATGTGACTGCAAACCCATTTCAAGATGGGCTGAACTGTGTGCTCGTCTCGAGACTCCAAGGCATCTTGGAGAGCGCTGCGATGGCGAAGGGCCAGGAGAAGGGTAAGCACGTTGAGAGGTGAATGCTCAGGTGAGTCTTTGTCGAGGACTTGATCGAGTGCACGCGCATATCGAGCATGTCGTAGGTCACTCTGCCACGGCCGCTCTTTTTTCTTGTAGGCGCGAGACTCGTTTGCAACGACAACATCGGCCCCCTCGCCAACCATATCCAACTTCTTTGCTGCAGTAACTCTCCTCTTCCGCTTCTTACGTTTGGCGTCATGCGCTTCAATGGTTCCGGCAACCAGAGCAGCCATTTCCTTCTCCCGTTCGGCTTCTCTGTTGGCCTCGGCTCCAGTGAGGCGGGTTCGCACACTAAGAACACCAGACTGCATACCAACTGCTAGATGCCGGTCGCTTGAATCGGCATCATCACTAGACGGGATGACCTTGACAGACAGGACGGGAGATTGGTACTTGGTGCTCGAGACAACGTTCCATCCAGTCGTTTCGAACACTTTAACATGACCCTCCAGGCCACCACTGACAAGCCGTCGACCATTGGACGCGAGGCTGAGAGAAGTGACTGTCTTCTGGTGGTTGGTAATCATGTGCAGAGGGCGCGCGGCAACAAGGTCGAGAACGCTGATCGATTCACCCGCAGCTGCAAGAACTGCGGTTCCGGTGGGCATAGACAGCACATCTTCGATAGGCGCAGCATGCTTGAAAGTCATGACCGCACTGTTGCTTCCTGCCCTAGGGTCCCAAAGCTTGACGGTCGAGTCATAGCTTCCTGAGACAATCATGTTGGACATAGTGCCAGGCATGAAGTTGGCGCATCGAACGTAGTCTGAGTGACCAACAAATGTAGTCGTCGGGTCGTTGCTTGGGAGATACCAAAGTCGAACAGTTTTATCGTCGCTAGCGCTCAACAAGGTCGTCAGCTCAGTCGGCGAGAACTTGGTTGTCCAGACTGGCTGCTTATGCTGCGTCCATGTCTTGAGGATCGCCCTAGAATTGACATCGAAGACTTGAATCTTTCCCGTATCATCACCAGCCGCCAGTACCCTTCCATCTTTCCTAATCTCACCGCTACGTGCAACGTCTCCAAAGCGCGTAATAGTCTTTTGAAGCTTGCGCGTTCGATTCGAGTAGATCTGAATGCGTGTGCCTGTGGTGACTGCGAAAGAATCGTTATTGGCCGAGATGTGAACGACGGGATACGATGTTGGTGACGGAATCAGAAGCTGGTTCTTGAAGGTCTTCCAGTATCGTTGTTCGGCAGTGATTGGCGTAGGGCCCGAAGGCAGCTTGAGCTGTGGCAGAGGTCCCACCTGAGCAGCCATTGTCGGGAATCGCAATGATGGGCTTTCACAGTGGTGGTGTTTAGAAGTCAACTGCCTTGAAGGTCGCCATGATTTTTTTTCAGAGCCTGATAAGATAAAGAAATTCTGATGGCCAAGGTACCTAGGTACTTGATGAAGATAGGTAGGTGAAGCACTAACCCTTTTGGGTTAACGTTGGATCGTTTAGCATGTACAACTTTCTTGCGACTATCTCCTGGCAAAAAAGCCCGAGCATCTAATGGAGATACAATGTCAATGAAGAGGGAATGAAGTAAGTACTAATTATAAATATTTTATCTTGGGTACTCTGAGGTATTTGTACAGAGCTTCTAAAGGGATTCATCATTATAGATCCTTTGTCATGTCACGTAGTCTAGTCCTTGTGTTTGGTGGCCGTTGAATGAAAGAAATCTAATGGTATTGGATATATATGAGAATTGGTTTCTAATTTTGAACAATTTTCTTAACATGAATGCATGAAACTCCAACATTACCTTACGCATCCTCCCAAATGTTGCCTTATTCCAACGCCGAAATCAGTACCACCGTGGATATAATATTATACATTCCCTCTAGGTCTCGTTACCTTCGTTGATTTAGTATCCTCCCCTGCGTCGGGACCTGCCTGTCCCAATATCAATTCGCTGCATCTCCTGCACTAATGCTAACTCCTGCCCCGTGCCGTTGGCACCGCTCATCATGGGCAGAGGGATCTTTGCTGGAATGGGAGGACCACCATATGCACCCCGATTCTCGTCTTCAAAGTCCCACGTTCCTGCACGGGGTAGGCCGCGAAGCGAAGCATTTCCGTATGGAGCCCTCTCCTGGTAATTATCCTTAGAAATTGGAGCCAGTGGACTGGAGGCTGCTGGGGAGTTGCCAGCCGAAGTGCGGTTAGTGCGCTTCTGAAGACGGGTGCGACCGGCCTGTGGGGGTGTGCGTGGTTCGTCGGAGAATGAATAAGATGGATTGACGGCGGACATCGAATGACGCCCACTGCGAGGTGGCCTTCGAGTGCTTGGAGGCATTGGTTGTGCCCCTGATAAGGGAGGTCGCGAGCGTGTTTCCGTCGGGGTAGACTCCGGTTGCTTCTTTTCCGGTTCAGGGGCCCATGTCTCCATAGGAAGATGGTCAGAAGGATCAATCTCCCGTCCGTCGTATGTAATGATTTTCTTTGGCTCCTCGTCCAAGAAATCCGGTGATGGGCTTGCTCCGTCTTTGGACGAAACAAGGCTGGGGTTCAATGCGTCATACGAGTCTGGTCCAAAAGGGATATCTGACTTTCTCCTCTGATCTTCGAGCGGTGGTGCAGGACTGACCGATTTACGCTTGATCCTGTGCTGTGTGTTGGGGCTTGCGCGTGGGTCGGGCGATATGGCTCGAGGCTTTACAATTTGTTGCTCCGGCGGGTTGTAAGTGATTGCCCGCCGGTTGTACGGCTGAACAGCATAGGCATGCTCGGGTGGCGGCTGATTATATTCTTGGAACGACTCGTCCCTCGGGCGTCCTCGAGGGGGCGTGTGCATACTAGACATGCTCTGAGAATGCTGCCTTCGGTCATGTCGGCGGTCCTCATATATGAGATCCGTCAATTCCTGAGACTGGCTTGCATCCAAACCCGGTACGAGAGCTGCTGGGAGAGGCGGCGGAGCATAGTTGTGTGGGTTTTGCCTATGCGCGACAGTCATGTCAGTCGAGTGGCTTTGATAATGGCCTTGGCCATTCTGGGGATAATAGGAATTATCCCCGGCGTTTCTTGAATAGCCTCGGCCATGAGATGGTGACACTGTCACCTGCCAGTCCTCAGGGTTGTGGTAATCTTGGGGGGCGTGCGATGGCGAGTAATCGTCCCGGAATGGAGCCGGAGCAGGAACAGGAGATCGTCGCAGGACGAGAGGTGCAGGGCTGGGGTTGTCATCGAAGCAAAGCTCATCGGAACGCTGGAACTGTGAGCCATTTTGGGCAAAGTTCTGGCCAGGTGGACCTGAGGCTTCAGGGACATCCTCAACTGTGGGCTGCATAGATCTGTAATGGGGATCATAACTGGCGTCATAAGAGCTATGTCTCGGCAAAGCATCATAGCTGTTTGTGTTTGGCGGGGTGGATTGATTGGCGGCAGGGGCTGAATCATATGCCCGAAATGCCGGGCGTCCAGGATAAGCCACCATTGACTGTCTCTGAGCTTCATGTCTCAAAACGTCATGTCTCATCTGTGGCATCTTGTTTGGTGACGTATCAAAGCTTCCTCTGGGCACAAGTTCCTGGCCTGTGCTGTTGTGTCTGCTTCTGTGGGCGGGTGGTGGTGGAGGACGTTCATTCTCTACTGGCGAGTACTGCCTGGGATCATCTGCCAGTGGCGGATGCTGCTGATAGGGGTCCTGTTGGGGAGAGTAATGGCCTCGAGGATCCATCTGATCTGGTTGAGGAGAGTATTGGGCTCGAGGGTCCATCAGCTCCTGTTGTGGTGTGTATCTTGAGCTATACTCCCGCTCATCGTACGGCGGGTGAGCTCCCTCATAAGGAACCATCGACCTCCGCGACTGGCGGGGTGCTTCCCGACTTGGTGTTATATACTCCTGTGGGACAGACCCGTGTGGAGATGGGGGGTATTGCTCCGTGTGACGGCGCGATGAGTGTGACGGCGGCGTGTTGTACTCGACAGCTTGCAAAGGGGACTGTGTTGGGACAAAGCTTCCTGAGTGTGAGGCTTGTTTGCCGTGAGTTCGTACAGGCGTGCGGTGATCAGGACCACTAGGTGTTGCTGTAGGCGCCGGCAAGGGAGCTGGCTGGGGTGCTGTCGTTGGAGCTGGAACAGGGGCTGGAGGAGTCACAGCTGGAGCCTCACCAGTAACAGGATCGGACGGCAAGGGACGTCTCTTAACGGGCGTTCTTTGCTTAACAGATCCTTGGTCGGGTTCGCTAGATGCAATCTGCTTTTGTTTCGGTGCGGGCTTGTCTGGCTTTGGTCGAGTATCGTAGAAAGTGATTTCAACTCGGATCTCTCCGGCATATTTGCCTTTGCAAGTTAATGTTTGCCAAAAGTCATTTTGGCCGCCCCCAGGCACAATGATTCCTCTGAGGTCTATCCAGGATTCTCCAATCAGGTCTGTCCGCTTATCGTCTGTGAAGATGGATAGCTTGAGTTGGTAGTAATCCGGGCAGTCATGGACTGTGAAACGAAGTTCTTGATCCCTATTGCACCGATTAGTCTCAGCTTGCCTTCGATTAGCTCCGCGAGGTGCTGCTAGATCTATCTTACCATTTTGGTGTTTGTCCACCTCTGACATCTGTCGTTGTCTTTCTGGCTTCCTTTCCTAATCTGGCTGCGCAGTAAGGGTCCTGCTTCCCGATCGTCTTGCGATTCGGCAAGTTCTTGGCCCGATCGACGATAGCGACCAGGGTTCCAATCTCTGGGCCGTCCACCGCAATGTCGGCAAAGATGCCCGCAGTGTGCGCTGCACTCATAAGATTCTTGACTTTGGCTGCCATTACAGCTATACGCACCAGCGCCCGGGCGAGAAAGCAATGGGAGGGTTAAAGAGTGAGGTGGTAATTAAATCCAAGCCAAGTTTGTTTACATGAACAATTGCTGCTATTGACCAAAGATAGCTCGATTTGGGTAGCTCGAAAGTTGGTCGGGTTGGTGTCAGGGACGACTAATGGACTAGCGCAAAGCAAAGGCAACGCCTGGTAGAGAAATCGAATAGAACAAAGATATTGGAAAGACCGGGAAATAAGGAGTTGAGAATGCGAAGGGTAAGGTTTGAAACGGAGCAGAAGGCGTTGACTGACAGAACCAGGCGAGGCTGGAAGAAATTCGCGAATGAGGTGGAATTAAACTTTCGAATAGTGAACTTTCCGCTCCGGAGTGTTTGGGTTGGATGAAATTAATCGAGTCCAGACTGGAAAACAAAACAGGCCGACTAATGCAGCTAGAGTGATGACGGAATGATAGGCAGAGAGAGAGCTGCTTGCGATTAGAAACCGCACCAAACAGAATTACTCTTGAGAGCCTGAGTAATCGGGAAGATTGTAGAGAAGCTGTGGCGTTAGTAAGCCCTTGGAGAACAAGAGAGTGTGTGTTGAGAGCAAGAGAAGGAAGAAATCTTCTCTCTCCGTGACAGATGAACAGGAACGCGATGAAGCAGGATATCAAGACGTTGTATACGTCTGGCTTGCGTGTGGTTGGGGGCCGAAAGCGGTAGTCCAGTGGGGCTCTGTGGAACAATTCGAGTGGAGCCTCTGACGGGAGGCTGGGCTTGGGCTGGAAACGGGGAGGCTGGTGCAACTGCTGCAGGGGATGAATCTACCCCTAGAGCCGCTCATTCGCCAAACACCTCTGGGGGATTTACAGGGAATCTATGCCCAGATTAACAGGGGCGGGGAGTTCTAAAGTTTTGGCGCGTCCAGGGGATTGGGTCCTTGGCAGTTGCTGATAGTGACAATTGGAGGCAGAGACGGTGAGGTCGCGTCATGATAGGGCAGAGTCTACAGGTATTAATGCAATGCGGTCCAAGTCGATGCCGATGTCGATGTCTCTTCCGACCTCCCGCTCTCATCCGATTCAGGGGACCATGGATCATTCAGGGACGGAATGACTGAGGTGAAGTGGCTCCCGTCCCTTGGACAGTTCAGGAACAGGCACGAAGACGGGCAGACCCAATGGTTTCAACTGAATACGTTACCTAGCTCGCCTCGCCCTAAGGAAGACCAGTCGAGCTGAACTCATGATCCTCCAATGGCTACACTGCCGTTTGCTCATTTCACCACACCACATTCGGGAATACGTAGAAAATGGAAATGGTACGCGCGTGTTTGGCGAAGCCATGGTCACAGCCACACAGTTATTGCGTACATCCAATCCTCCAGATACAGACTCCCTCGGGCTCGCGATTGCCAAGCCGTAGGCTGACGTTGACGTTCCACTCGCTCGATTCATTCCATTTTGATATAGTTGAGCAATGATGTTGGATCTCCTGACATCCCTTGGTTGAGTGCTCAGACCATGATCGATACGGCCTTGGTTGTTTGGTTTTTTCTACCAAGATCGAATACCACATTGATTTTGCAAATCGAGTAATCCCGCTCAAGCAAACAGGAACCAACCTCAGGACCTTATGAAAGCATGATCGTGCGCTCCAGAGGCCCATCTAGGCTGCGGGCCCAAGGGCAAACTGCTGAGGCGCCCTTAAGCCCAAAAGCAGAACCGGGATAATGGGCTGGACGTTGAAAGACCCCTGCTCCTCACGAGCATGTCACTATTTTATTAGTTGGCCCTTGTTTGAATGTTGGAATAACGGTCCTCAACCTCTTCGAGTCCAATTGGAACAATGCCCTGGCGAGATCGGCTCTACCGATTGACCCACTGACTGATGCCACTAACTTAGACTCTGCATCATCCTGTTCCTTGGCTGGCTGAATTTGCTAGAAACAACTTATTTCAGCCTTTCATCATCATGATACCGGATCGGGTTTGATTGTCGCAGAATGTTTGCGGCGTTAAAAAGGGACCCTGTTGCCATGGGAGATAAAGACATAGTGTCTCACCCCTACTGTCTCTGTCTCGAGTATGAATTCCTAAACTACTACAGAGTACGTAGTGAATCCATCACTCCAATTATGCCGACGGCAGCATGCCCATGTTTCACGCAAGAGGCATGTCATGCCGTAGCGCTCCAAGGTTTTTGTCTTCCACCAGCGTCTCCGTTTCTGATATAAGTGGCTAAGAAACAGAACTGGGTCAACAACAGACATGCAGTATTACAAGTAGCAAACCAACACAAACTCAATTCCAAACAGGGAAAAGAAACATCTACGAGTAATCCAGCACAATTTTGACGTTGGTAGTTCTATCTTATTGCTTTTGTATAAAATCGCTACCAGTCACAGCTCTTGGCAAGGAGAGCTGCCAGTTGCTCGAGATGGACCTTGTCAACCTCGTCAAAACCATTCAGCTCAGCGCAGTCGATGTCGATGATAGCCACCAGCTTCTTCGAACCATTTTCCTGGGTAACCACAATAGGCACGACGATCTCACTCTTGCTGTCTCCATCACAAGCAATATGTCCCGGAAACTCCTCCACATCTCGAACTAATTGAGTCTCTTGGGTCGCTGCCGCTGCTCCGCAAACACCTTTGCCGAACTTGATGGTCTGGCAGGCAACCTTTCCCTGGAAGGGCCCCAGAATGAGTTGCGGATCTTGGGATGATTTGTCAAGCACGTAAAAACCTGTAGTTGAACACAGCATGTCGTCGTTACTACTTGTGTCTGCGACTTGGGGTTTGTGACATACCAGCCCAGTTCACATCCTTGCTCGGTGATCCCAAAGATTTATATGCGTGCCACAATAGGGAAGCAGCATTTGAAAGGTTACTATTGAACTGTTAGCCATGGCCTGAACCAGCGAGCTCTCAATCTCCGTACCAGACCTGTTGCAAGAATGAGTTAGAGGGTAAGTCCAATAGTTCCGGCGACCGAGATTGTTTGACGAACCCAGTTACGCTGGTCAGTGATCAGGCCCTCGGCCTGCCAGAGCACTTGCTCATAGGCGTCCTCTTTTGTTATGCCGTCGGCAAAGTTTGATGCATCAGCATGAACCTGCAAGAGCAAAATTAGTTAACGATGTGTCTATGCTTGACTAATAAATATGGACTGTGAACAAACCATCTTGCCGGTTGGAACTCTCGGATAACTTCCTCACCACGGGATACTACGGATCAATGCAGCTTTCAGGGGATTCAATAGTATAGATGAATATGTTCTAGAAGAAATTTCGAAGTTGACGATCAGAAACTCGGTGGAGTTTACTGGACTTGATCGCCAGGATGAATTTGATACACCCCGCTAAAATGTGCGTGTCATTTTAGCGGCTGTGGTGCCAGCAATTAAACCAAACAAAATCGCAGTTCGATAATAAGCCGCAAATATCAAATATTTCCATGTCTAATACGCTCTGTAGCTATATACCCAGATATAAACTTAATGAATAAACACAGGATATAGTTACAGTTATATCTGGGGCGGGACGCCAACTGGAAGACATCACACAACCTCAGTTCCATTAGATCTGGTAGGCGAAAATTAGGGCCTGATAGACCCAGTAGTCAGGTAATAACAGGTATGTTGGATCGCGAAGCTGAAGTTGCAATAATTAGGTAGGCATTACGGTTATGGTGGCTGGTTCAAACTCTCCGACAATACAGCGTCTGCCGATCCTTTGTCTTATACTCCGTAGACTCCGATCGCACTCTTCAGCTTTCTTAAGGCTATACTCGAGCCATGCTTCTCAAAAACCCCGGATTTTCCCTTATAGTGTGAAATTTTACTCCAAGTTCAATACTGTGAGACAGTTTCTTCAGGACAGTCTGGTTGTTGAGCCGGGGAAGATGATCCCAAAGTAACCCAAAAGTGTAAATCGTGTGTGAAAGTCATTTACTGATCGTTGTTTACCATGCTATGAGGACTATTTTTGGTTAAGAATTTATCGTAAAGTATTTAGGTTGTATGTGAGTCAAAATACACAAAAGCTGCAGTCATGGGACAAAGGGACACAATTTGAAGACAAAGAAATAGGGGACAACAGCCAAATTGAAGTCTACGGAATAAGTAGTCTATAATACCATGACAAGATTGCTATGGATGCATTCCCAACTTTAGGTAGCCAATGAAAAACTGCAGACGGATGTCTTTTTTTGATAATGGTTCCTGAAAATCGATCGCACCTAATAAGGGAAGAAAGCCAAATTCGCCGACGTCAAATAACAGCCTGGCCAATGACGCAGTGCATTTTGGAATTTCCGACTCTTGGCCGTCAGGGCCCATTCCCCAGCATACCTACCTAGACTTGTCTCAACCATAAACTCCTTGAACATGAGCTCTCGAGCAACATGGCGACTCTGTGGGCGTAGTCAGAACACACGCCATTGGCCACTCCTGGCGACAGTATCCTTTATACAATCGCCAGCTTTGCTACGGATACAGTCACGCCCCATCCACAATGACGGTCCAAAGAGCTTGAATCCGCTGGTCAACCCACCCGATGTCACGCGACCACCACCGTTGACGCTGCCTCGACGCCGAGACTTTGAGTCACCGATCAAATACTACTTCGAGCTGGGAAAGGGATATCTAAAATTCTACAAAGGGGGCATAAAAAATGTCTGGACGAGCCGACGTCTCCTCCGCGAGAAGCTTCAGCGAACTCCAGTCGATGACCGGCCGTCGATATTCAGACCGCACTACGTCCCAAAGACGTTTTCCAGAGCCGACTGGGTTCTTCTATGGAGGGTGCGACATGATATGATCAGACTTCCTCTGTTCGGGCTTATGTTGATTGTCATTGGGGAATTCACTGTCCTGGTTGTTGCCTACGTCGACAGTGTAGTGCCGTACCCTTGCAGGATACCAACGCAGATCTTCACGGCGCTTGAAAAGGCTGAGCAACGTCGCAAGGCTGCTTTCGATGAGTTGGAAGCGAGACATCCTCATGGTGTCCTTAGCCCGCGCGTCACCCAGGCAATCGCTCGGTCTCACGTCCTCAAGAGCTTGCATCTGAGCGGTGCAATCTGGGACCGTCTAGGCTTCCTACCACCAGGCATGTGGCAGGCCAAGGGACGATATCGTATGGCGTATCTAGAGGGTGATGACAGAAATATCGTCGAGGATGGTGGACCCATGGGACTTCACTACGAGGAACTCAGAATTGCATGCGCAGAACGAGGCATTGACACACTTGGCAAAAGCGAGACTGAGTTGCGGGGGTGGCTCGGCGACTGGCTGCGTCTGACAGCCTCCGACGATATCGATGAAAGGAGACGACGCATGGCAGTGTTGTTCCTGACGAGGTATGTGCATCTTATGAATATGCGTCCGTCTTCACTAAGCACGACTAACACTGGAACCAGACCAGAGAATTGGCCTCAGCATAGAGATTTTGGCGTGCCTGAATGGCAACTATAAAATGCATTGTAGCATATGAAGTTGGAACAATACAGAAGACCAAAGTGAGCAGTCAATTGATGTTGTCGCGTGTAAATATAAACTACTTAACCATACACTTTTGAGTGACTGGTCCTAGCTGTTTGGAACGACTTGGTTTGAATCGCCAGCAGTATCTTGGCTGGTGGGATAGTAGCCAAGTCGACAATGCGCCTACGGAGTAAGGATGGATCTCAAGTATCATTCTGAAAAGCATGGAATAATAAGCTGACCTTGGATTCTGTCCATGTCATGTCAGCCTCATAACTCACGCACGTATTTGAGCCACAGATGGAGTCTAGGTTCCGAGTTGGTCGGCTGTAACATGGCTGATCAATGGCTTGGTTGGGATGGAGTTGGCCAAAAGCACGTGGTCAACTTCTGCCGACGACTGACTCGGCCATTGAGTGTTTCGGAGCTACCCCCGCGTGTACTGTATGTACTGTATGTACTGTATGTAGTCTAAACCGATTGTGTGAAAGCAGCTTGTGGGGGAGTTAGACAGACAGACAGACATGTGGATGATCTCATGGCAGATCCGCCGAGGTTCACATCACATGCAATCCAATACCTACTGTACTGCTATCACTTTAACGTTGCAGGGCGCCCCCGGATTCTTTGCAACTTCAATCCATCCACGACTATCTGTCGCATTTAAAAACCTCGCTCGATTCCCACACGTTTTCCTCGCTTTCCTTCCTACCTGGCTACTATTTTCCTCTGTCTTTTTCATACGTCAAATCTCCTGTAAATCTATCCAAACCTCTCATCGCAGCCATGTCTCTCAAGAACGGTACGTCAGGACAAGCCACCCCATCAAGATCAGCGTTCCGGGAACACAAGCTGCCCTCTCTTCCCCAATTCCTCGTCTTGAAAACCACAGGAAACTGACTGCCAGCCACAGACAAGTTCCCCGCCTCAGCCGCCTTCGACGCCATCCAAGCGGCCATCAACGCCAGTGATGCCGATCGCAAGGATGCCATCAAGCAGGGCAACGGCGTCTACGCCTTCACCCTCAAGAACGCGAGCGGCGATGAGGCCAGCTGGCACATCGACCTCAAGGAAACCGGCAAGGTCGGAACTGGCACCGGCGCAAAGCCTGATGGTACGTCGCGACCCCGACGCGCTCCAGCGCAGTCGGAACATACATGACTGACCAAGATGCCTCCAGTCACACTCATCCTCTCCGAGGAGAACTTTGGCAAGCTCGTCGCTGGCAAGGCCAACGCTCAGCGTCTCTTCATGGGCGGCAAGCTCAAGATTAAGGGCAACGTCATGAAGGCGACCAAGCTTGACCCTGTGCTTAAGAAGGCCCAGGACAAGGCCAAGCTGTAGTTTAGGCGTGCTTTTCTGACGTCTGGATAGCATTTTTGTTTATTTTTGTATGATATCAACTTGCTTGTCACTAATCGCTCCATACCACCCGGATGCGAACGTATAGAGGAGTATTTGCGTCAAGGTCAATCTATCATTTTATACTGTGAGACAACTCATATATATGTCCTCAATTGTCTAGATGGCTCAGCGGAAAATATCTCATTCTGAGTCCATGTACTAAACGAGACTGGTCGCTCTTTGAAGCCCACACCGAGCCTGTTCACGTACTTCACGAACAATCTCTCCCGTAGGCTGGACCTTATTGATAAGCCCGACGCCAGTTCCCCTGCTCATGTTAGTTGAAACATAATTTACAAGACACAGACTACTCACGCCCAGGTATTCACGAGATAGCGAGCCTCCTCCTCTGAGTAATCCTCTTTGAGGCTCCGTTGACAGTCTTCCAAGCTTGCTCCCGCGAGGAACCTCTCATGGATAGGGCCAACGATGGCACGTCCGTCGTAGAGGGGCCCCCAAAGAGGACTGTTGACTATCCTGTCATTGAACGTGGACCTAAATCATATCAATCATCGGCTCATCCTCTAGCGCAGAGCATAACCATACTTGAAAGTTGACACGCCACCATCCACAGCCTCGAGGACTTTCCTCTTTCGTATCTCGGGATAGTTTGATTCGGGCGCAATAGTGAACTGCAAATTAGCCTAATAGGCAACACGAGCTGTTCCAGCTTTCACTTACTTTTGTCCCCATAACAACACCCTCGGCACCTATATCTCGTCAGTCTGTCTTTGTAAACCATGGTGTCAACTTATGGTACTCACCCAGAGCCAATGCTCCAGCAACACCCCGCCCATCAGCAATACCTCCTGCAGCCACGATGCTTATTGGTCTGTCAGGAAACTCTCTATCCAACATATCTCTAACTTCAGGAACCAGGCTCACGATGCCGGATCCTTGACGAAACTGGTGGCCTCCAGCATCTACACCCTGAGTCACGAGTACATCGGCACCGTCTTGGACTGCCTCTCGCGCTGCAGCAACATTTCCAACCTGGACAAACACAATCGGAGGATGACTCAGAGCCTTTAGGCTAGGGATTATCTTACTATGAGGCCTAAGGTCTCCATCTGGAGCAAACAACCATATTGCAGTAGGACGATACTTGGCTATAAGAGGCAGAGCCGTCTCCTCAAAGTAGCTCATGGAGCTATGACTTGTTATGAAGCTAGCCCCGACACGGAGTGGCCCATCAGAAGGCTGATCGACTCCCAGAAGTTCCCGGACTTCATCAAAGTAGCCAGTAAGGCTATTGATGTGCTCCGAGTTTGGTTCAATGTATGCCAACGAGGGGAGGAATCCTGTCGTTGAATGTCAGGTCAGCTTAGAATGGTTTGAAGCACAACTTTTGGGGTGAGAATACCAAGGCCGCCAGCTTTTGTGACCTCCGCCGCCATGAGAGGCGTAGCAATGCCGAGCATGGGCGCATTGCTGATGAGGGGACTCTTCGCCCAAGTGAAACGGTTGAGAAGCTGTGAAGAGCTCATTTCGACAATCCGATATGGTGCTGTAAACTCGAACTTTAAGATTCGAATGCAATTGGGTTATGTACAAGAAGCGGTCCAGCTGCAAGTTATCTTTTGCAGAGAACCGAGATGTAACCTCGGCTGAGCTGATTTGTAAGACGCCGCGAGTTGATATTGTTCGATCTCTCTGTTGTTACGTACATACATACAAAGATAATTAGACTCAGCTGAGATTTAATCATTTCTTATGGGCAATAATGTTCCGATTTGTGAGTACGGCCATTGTGTGTATTGTCGCCATGGTCAAGTCAAGTTACTTAAAACCGCTCTACAACCTCAGGTGGTTTGTTGTTGAGAATCACATCAATCTCCTCCAAAATATCTGAAGTCAACTTCCTGACAGCAGCCACAGCTCTGACGTTCTCGTACACCTGCTCAGGACTGCTAGCGCCCGTTATAGCAGAGCTGACATTCTTATTGCTTAGTACCCAGGCCAGGGCGAGTTGGCTCTGTTTGAGACCAAGTCTGTCCGCGATAGGCTTCAGTTGGTTGACCTGCTCAATAATAGCCGTCCAGGTATCTTTCCCTGTTTGCTTCCAGAAACCGTTAACCCACTTGATCTCTTCGTTGGCGAAGCGAGAGTCGCCAGGAATGCCGTCACTATATTTTCCAGACAGGATGCCTTGGCGCATAGGTGAGAATACAGTCAGACCAAGACCAACTTCGCGATATAAGTGGGCATATTCCTGCTCTACCTTGACTCGATCCAGCATGTTGTAAGCTGGTTGCTCCATAATGGGGCCTATCAGACCCAGTTTGTCTGCATACCGCCACGCCTGTGCGATCTCATCGGCATTCCACATCGAAGTTCCCGTAGAAGGCCTGTCAGCCAAGTCAGTCAGTCAGTCAGATGCAGCTAGCCATCACGGGTGAAATGGTCGGGTTTACCTTTCCTTGATCTATAATGTGATTGAACGCACGAACGATCTCTTCCATGGGCGTTCGACGATCAGGCCTGTGAGCGTAAATGAGATCGACATACTCGAGATCCAACCGCTTGAGAGCACCATTAATCCCCTCGACAATGTGTTTTCTCGAAAGTCCCTTGTTGTTGACGGGGTTGTCTCCAAATGCCTCTCCCCAGTAGAGCTATACGGGGTTTCTTAGCATCATTACATGATGAACTATGCATCTATGGCACAAGTGCGGTGGGTTACCTTGGTAGAGACCACCAGGTCATTTCGTTTCCAACCAAACTTCTTGATAGCCTCGCCCATGACAATCTCGGATTCACCATTGGAGTATTCTTCGGCACAGTCAAAGAAGTTGACACCGCAGTCATAGGCGGCCTTCATGCATTCAAATGTACGTTCTGTAGAGCTAGTCAGTCAATGGCTCCGTGCGTCTGTCCCTTTGGATACTAACCTTTATCAATGTGGCCACCGTATGTCAGCCATCCTCCGAGGGAGATTGCAGATACCTGAAGACCTGAGCGGCCCAGGAAGCGATACTCCATCTCGGGGATATCTTCTGGCTTACCCATTGCCGTGGCTATGACTTGATGATGAGACTCTAGAAGGGGGGGGGCTAATTGTGATATACAGTATAGTGATAGTGTTGCAGTTTTCGGTGTCAGTGTAAGCCCATCTTGCGTCTTTGGCGGGATTTGGAGCTTTTTGTCATGTCATCAGTAATCAAGCTACAACCCTTTTAGGTAGACCGATACTGCCGACTGTCCTTCCTATTTCTGACAACTGTCACACGCGGGGTACCATTTGCCATGATTTCTTTTTGATGCTTGACTGTGAACTCAATTTCATAGAGTCGGAGCCAATACCTCGAACCATGCGACAACAAACAACACAGGCACAGCATTTTCTCAACAATCGACACCACTGATGGGATGATCTCATCCTTTCAAAAATACGTATATTCGCTCCTCATGACGTTGAACGTCGCTGTTGTGTCATGTCAATCAACTAATACTCACCCTAGTTACCCTATACCACTAAAACACCTCCCATTATCACGACGGCAATAGACATTCTTTGCTACTGATATAGGTAGCCGAAAATTGTCCCAGTGGCTTGAGCATTGGCATAGAACGGAGCTTATTACATCCGAAATACGGGGTCAAGAACCTGATGCCAGACCAGACGTTATTTCGTGAAACCCAGCTCTTACACGACAAGTTAAGAACTCCAACTAAACTTCATGGGTTATTAACTCGGCAATACTGCAAACCGAGTACAGTGGTGTCACACCCATGGTCAAGCTTTGATTCGATGGCAGTGATCGATGAGACAAATGATACAGCTTATGGCATACGCATGCCTGAAGCACACCCAAAGTGACAACTGAAATCAGGGAAATAAAGCTTTGAACTGGCAAGAATGAATGAATTTACCGTGTTCGAGATTATCATTGGCCAATCTTGAGCTGAAAGTACGAACGACAGTGAACATCTAGCTTCTAATTGGACCGAATTGAATTTATACATGTACCTATTGTTAGCGCTAGCTTGGCATTTCGGAGATTTCGCAGGGAAGAGGAAACCAAATCTCCGAGTGACGAGTGACACGCCTGTTTCTGGCACAGAGAAGAAGACAATAATTACATCGCTTGAAACAGGGAACATCGCTGATGACGAGGTTCTCTAATTTCAAAACCCAGGTTGTGTATTCTGAGTGGAATGCCAACGCCATACCTTACTTAGGACCTAGTTTGGCACTCAAACTATCGTAGGCATGAAGTAGTGACTGACGTCGTGACACTGAGGCTTCAAGAGGCGAACCCAGCCTCAAGCACGTAACACGATAATTCACTCTACTGAGCGCCCAAGGGGCCGTTGAACGAGCTTGGTGTGGCAAAGATTTACGCGTGCAGCGATTGCGTGCTGGCAACTGTGGCGAGTGTTGACTCGTAAGATAACCTGCGATTACTGAAAATCTACAGATACAGCTGACAGACTATGGACACAACAGATCGATAGCGCAGCAAGGGACACACGACACAGGAGAAAAGGGAGGTGGATGCATGTTGAGATCCGAGTTGACGAGGGCATAACAAGGGAAGAATTAGAGCCGCTTCTAGCGGGGACCCCTAGTCAAGATATCTCTCTTCTAGGCCAGGTGCTCTGTTGGGACTGGGGTAGCTAAGCAAACTTGCATTATGTATTTTGTGGTGACTTATTGGATATTTAATCTCACGATTGAGACCTTGCTCGAGAATCACATGGTGGAACATGGACACAAATACCCTTAACACCTATTCTCTGCAGAAGACCCCAAGAATACATTCATACAGAGTCTATTGCTTCGTATACGATAAATGAAGTGAGGCAAAATAAGACTGGAAATAAGGATTGGGAATTTGGACCGGATGGATGGGCAACGGAACTATTCCACCATGAGCCAAGTGCCATGGGTCAGTCCAATGATAGACGGGCGCTAGCAACGTCTGAACTCTTGGTGTGGCTTGTTGCGTCCCGTCGTGGATGCATGCTTTTCTTCAAAGTGTACACTAGCAATACCCTTTGGCAGGGAGAACGGTCGAATGAATCGCTAGGCTGGACTGTAATAGCAGGACAGAAGAATCTCAAACGAACGAACAGACCCGAAGCTTGAACCTTGATATCCACTAGACACATAGTCGAGGGTATCGGATCTTGCGGTCAAGGGCATTCATTAGTAGAAGCGCGGCATTTTGTTGATGCGTTACAACGAGGAGTCTTGCCTTGTGTTGTACATACACGAAATAGTGCCAAGCATACCCGTAGAAGCACATGTCCATATGTACGCATACACAAGGATGCACAAGCAAGACAAGCTCCCCATGCACAAGTCGTCGATCTATTTGCTATCTGGCCATGCTCGAAATTGGACTTCGTTTATTGACCGGCTGCAGGGTCTTGAGTAACAAAGGCCAGAAGCAGTTTCTCGCCGACAAGAACCTTGAATCTCAACATCCAAACCCAGTCGATAAAACCACAGACCAGATGATGGACAGCCAATGTTAAAGCAAGGTACCAGGCAGTACTTGACCAGAGGCTGGGAAATTGCCCCTGGGCCAAGGTAGAGTTTTGTACCCCGGCTCTGCCGTTGGGGCATCCCGAGTACTCCACTGTCTAGTGGCCAGCGCCGAGTCAAGTCTTTTCATTCATTCTGCTGTATGTAAGAGCACAGACGGACGCCCGGGGAGGTAGGGAGGAGTTGTACGGGACGAATGTCGTGATGAGTTCACATCGAAAGACTTTTGTTGTTGCAAGAGCGGACGGACGGTGTAAATGATTCGGTGACCAGTCCTCAAGACATCCAATCTCTATCAAGGCCTCATTGAAGCATCTGCTTCAGAAGCGAAGACGCATGAGCTTGAACAACTAGGGACTCACCGACACCTTGATGTCGACGGCTGCGTGTCACTCCCATTGGCATTGTGCAGGTGATGTCTTCAAGGCACTCGCTGGCAATAAACTTTTCATGCCTATTGTCTCTTGACCTGCGACTCGAGGTAGGATTGGATACGACTATCGTTGCTTTTTCACGCTTGGGAGCCAAACAATACCATTCATTGACTCAAGGGAAGGGAACTAGAGCTGCAAGAGAGGCTCACGGGAAGGGTTAAAAGAGAATCTAAACTCGAGTTGATTTAGACAACTTTTAAATCAAACCCTGCACAGTGCTACTATTGAAGAGTTTAAGGATAATACCTACATATTCTACTCTATGAAGCTTGAGTTTTGTATGGGCTGGAGCCCAGACGATGCTCACAGTGCTGAACCTCGAGCCTTAAAAACAACGGACACTCCTTACCTACTGAATCCGGCTGGTCTTGGTCTGGCCTAGACCCTCTGGAAGTCGGGGCTGGCAGCCAAATTGATTGTCGACTCCTGGTTGGCGTATGCTTTCAGGCCCCTTCGCTTGTTTCTGTAGCGTTTCCATGCCTGTGGCTGGGGGCCGGGGGCTCCCTAGCAGTGGAGTTGTCGCTGATTTCTTTGAGGTGAGGTGCCTGGGCTAGCCTGGCCTGGGCTTCTCGTTGGCTCAGGTCAGGTCAGGTCCGCGCTTGGGGGCCCGGGGGCAGGTGCTTCTACTCTCTCCCCGTCCCAGTCCCATCTCTTGCTTCTCTTTCCCCTTTCCCAAACTTGATCTCCCCATCAACGTTACCGACGTCGCCTTCGATCTCTCTTGGGGCTTTCCCCTTCGACCGCCTTTCCTTTCGACTCGAATCGATCGCCTCTGAGCTGCCTGATTCTATTCTTTTTTGGCATCTCTTCTTTTAATTGAGGTGAGTCAATTTGATTTTGACTTCGATTTCCTGGAGGTGGTCTGTTCAGCGTTGTTGTGGTCCCTCCGACAAGGAGACAGCTCCCGAGCCGTGGATATCGGGTTGGCGGCACAGTCTTGTTGTGTGCAGCACTTTGCCAATTCTTTCTGGCCAAACCGCTGCATTTCAATTCTCTCAGCATACTTGGACAGCATGCAACGCTTGATGGCTGCGTCGCCTCATTTCTTATACATACATTGCGCCTAAAAGGATCTTCTCGGGCGCCTTTAGGGGGTTCTACTGCGGCTGGCGGCTGTGCCCTTGGACTGGAGGTGTCTATTTTACCGCGCCTCCAATCAACATCCCAGTACCACGTCAACAGGACAGCCCAACTCTGTCAATTCATCGCCTCATCCTTCAGTCGTCCAACCGCGAGCAGCGCCACAGCTTCCGTTTCTTTTCCTTCTTCATACACTCGCGTGCATGCTGCATCGCCATCATCAGTTTCATCAAAACTAACCGCTGCCTTGCGCACATTCTTAGGCATAGTTTTATTGCACCAGTTTCGACATTGAGCACGAGTTACGCCCTTATCCTAACGACCGACCCTCCGGCATCTGTTTCGATATATTGCAGCGGTGGTCCTTTGACCGCCTTCGCCGCCTAAATGGCTTCGTCATCATCCAACGTGGTCGGTGTCCACTACCGAGTTGGCAAGAAGATTGGAGAGGGATCTTTTGGTGTAATTTTTGAAGGCACCAATTTGCTCAACAATCAGCAAGTCGCTATCAAGTTTGTCAGTACAGCAGTAGCCCGGCGTTTCTGCGCTGCCATTGTGTTGGCTTTTCTGACATCGTATTAGGAACCTCGCAAGAGTGATGCCCCCCAACTGCGAGATGAGTACCGGACTTACAAGATCCTTGTGGGCTGCCGTGAGAAGACCCGTTCCTAAACAGAGAAGTTCGCATGTGCTAATACCGATTCAGCTGGTATTCCGAATGTTTACTACTTCGGCCAGGAGGGTCTCCACAACATTCTCGTGATCGACTTGCTCGGTCCTTCCCTTGAGGATCTTTTTGATCACTGTGGCCGAAGGTTCTCTATTAAGACGGTTGTCATGGTTGCCAAGCAAATGCTTTCGAGGGTTCAGACCATTCACGAGAAGAATCTCATTTATCGCGATATCAAGCCCGACAACTTCCTCATTGGCCGCCCTGGCACCAAGGCTTCCAGCGTGATCCATGTGGTTGACTTCGGCATGGCCAAGCAGTACCGTGACCCGAAGACGAAGCAACATATCCCATACCGCGAGCGAAAGTCCCTTTCTGGAACTGCACGATACATGAGTATCAACACCCATCTTGGCCGTGAGCAGTCCCGCCGAGACGATCTCGAAGCTCTTGGTCATGTCTTCCTGTACTTTCTTCGAGGTGGTCTTCCTTGGCAGGGATTGAAGGCAGCCACCAACAAGCAGAAATATGAGAAGATTGGCGAGAAGAAGCAGACAACTGCTATCAAGGATCTCTGTGAGGGTTTTCCCGAGGAATTCTCCAAGTATCTGACGTATGTCCGAAATCTGGGGTTCGAAGACACTCCTGACTACGATTACCTCCGGGAGCTCTTCACGCAGGCTCTCAAGAACACTGGCGAGGTTGAGGATGGCGAGTATGACTGGATGAAGATTTCGAAGGATTCGGGAAAGGGATGGGATTCGAAGAACCACAGCGGCGCGTACCTCCACAACCCCAACGTGCGGCCTGGCCCCTCTCAGATGGAGCTGCACAGCGGCCACCGTCCCGGGAATACCACCTCTCACCAACAAGCACAAAACCTTACTGTCGGCCGTTTAAACGCCGCGCAACCCCCTCCTCCGTCTCCGATCAAGCAGATGGGCAAGCAGAGAGATCGGCCAAGCGCCCCCGGCGCCTTGTCAGCGCAGAGGGGGAGCGGGGTTGGGGGTCTTCGGGACATGACCACACCCACTGGCTCGACCCAGGCTCAGTTCCAGAACAGTGCCCAGAACCTGCCTCAGCAGCCGAGGACGTCCCAGCAAGGCCAGGCGACTCAGGCCGCCCAGGCTAGCGGCCAACAGGCCAATCCTCAGCCCAGTGGCTTCCAGAAGCTGATGAAGACCCTATGCTGTGGTTAAGCATACTCTGGTATACGGCTAAGAATTTTCTTTGTTTCTTCATTGCTGCGGCGTTGTGCATCAGGATCTGTATTGTGTCGACAGACTCCGGTTCAAGAGGATTGCCCGATTTACTCAGAACCGGGTCGTGGTTGATGGTTGGAATGCCCAGTTGAAGCTCAGTCCAGTTTATAGATGCATGAGGTGGTGGATGCCTAGGCACAGTTGAGCTTACCTCGACCGAGTTGGTTCGAGTCACGAACGAAGTCCATGCATCTTGGCCACCTTCAGAAGCGCACTGTTTGCGAACACGAACCCATCATCTCGGCATTATAGAGCCCTTTGGCCGCCTACGAACCGTTCTTGGGAGTCGATATACTTGCATGACACTCCTTGGACCGGAAGCAGATCTCGTTTGGGATTACGGCGGAGGGCACTCCTTTCTCTTGCCTGACAAACCATTACGAAATATATTAAAACCACGTTTAATCTTCAGCGCAGCGCAGCAAGGCGCAAGGAGACGGTGCAGGGCAGCATTTCTGGGTTTGTTTGGGTTGTTTCTTCTCCTTTTTCTTATGACGCTGTCCATAATAACTTTGTGTAATCGCTCACGAGACGAAAGCCATCATCGGCGTGCCTGATGGCACCCAGTCTTGCCTGGTGTAGATGGAGAGATCATCTAGCGTGGGGATGAGTTTGAGGTTTACAGGCTTGGTGATTTGTTGTGAAACGAAGATAGAGCACTATAGGGAGTTCTCGTTCTTTTGGCAATTTTATAATGGGAAAAGAAAAAAAGGCGTCGCCATCTTTATCACAGTTCTCAGTTCCACTCTTTCGAGTATTCATTTGAGTAAACCTTTCAAACATCATCATGTGCATGTAACATTACACGGCCATCTTCTATGAAAGATGACCTCCCCGCTGTGGCTTGGATGCCCAACGATCTCTTTTATCCTTTTCTTGTGCGCAATCCATCGACAACCGACCCAATGAACGACAGTTGGCTCTTCCTGGACCACTGAAACCCAAGACTCAACTCGCAAACGAAAAAAATGATCGACCAATCACTCTAGGTGAGCTTCTGCTTGATGAAGAATGATCGAAGGTGGGAAAGCTGCCAGGTGCAGGTGATGCCAAGCACGATGAGCTGGATGATGATCCATCGAATGACACGGGCGTTTGTAGACTCGGATTGATCTCGGAACTCGGCCTCTCGTTCCTGTGCACGCATAGTTAGTTACTGCTCTCATCAAAAAACATGTTTACGGTCGCACATACACGCTGGAATACTTGTTCTCTGCGGATATCAGCAAGACGAGCATTGAGGTCTTTGACACGTGATGTGATATCCTGGATCTTTCCCTTATCGCTGCTCTCGATTTGATTGGTCTCACCAATAACCAAGTCTAGAGTCAACTTGATGCCGCCGTTGGGGTTCTTGGCGGAGAGCCACGAAGTGCGGCCAGAGCTGGACGAAGGGGTGAAGCAGATCTTGTGGTCGCCAGCATCGGCGGCAGAGAAGGTAAAGCGGCCAGAAGCAGCGCCGCGCTGAGAAACGACGCGGTGATCATTGTCGAATATTTCCTGTGAGCTACTCTTAGTAAAAGTTCGAGAGAGACAGTGCGACATGCTTGTGGACAGCTGTCCATGAAAAACATACGTCGACGTTGATGTAGATGCTGATGCCGTCATGCTTTACCCAGGCTGATACTCGGTCATCCCACTCCTCAGCAGTGTAATGTCCAACGACAAGTGTATCCTTGGGCAACTCCTCGTAAAAACATCTGGGGGTTGTGCCGTCAATGAAGAAGTGCAGCGCATTCGCAGCGGCGCTGAGCGACAGGAGAGGAAGTAGGAATTTCATGATGGCGACGGCTACAGGACTGATGTCCTTGGGGAAATTGCACGGGTCGGGTTATTGGCAGGTCCTTGAAGAAAAGTGTCGTTGATGGGAACAGAGAACGATCTGATAACGTGACAAGGTCCAATGCTTGAAGTTGTTGTAGCTGTTCCCCCCTTTGGCTCTGCTTCGACGTTGGCGCCCGCGAAGCTGCCACGTTCAATGATCGGCTTTGGGGCCAGGGGGTGATCTAGCACTGTCACGTGCAGATAGCGCAACCCGTTCCAGATTCTGATCCTGGGCAAAGGCGGCGCATCCTACCATGTAATCCCAAGCAGTTACTCCGTGCTCCGAATTAATTCAAGTCAACGCCAAATTTTCAGACGCGTCAACCAACACCAGCGGTTCGATCTCCACAAAGAGCATCAATAAACGAAATACGGACCGATGAATTATTGTTAGGAGTGGACCCCGTGCTTGAATTTGACGACTTTGGTGATGGAAGCTCGAGTCTAAAGGATTATTTGGACCAGTTATACTTGTCCTTCTTTCTTTCCGACAACCTATCTCCGCGAAAAACCTGCACGATGACCTCTTCCGACGTTCGTGATGTGCTAAACCTGGGTGATGGCGTATCAGGTCCGAGGCTGAGCAAGAAGCAAAAGATTGCTGCACCAAGGCCAAACTTGAAGGGTTTGGCTCGTGAGGTACACAATCTGGGGGGCGATAACCCTATTGCTATTGTCCCTGAAGTCACACATTTCAAGAAGCGACGCTTTGCAAGTCGCAAACCTGCAGCGAGATGGGAGATGCGATCGTTCAAAAACTCGGCGCGTACGGATTCGGATTTCACTTTGCGGCACTGGAGGAGGAAGGATGAGAAGCAAGATGGTAGCGACGTATCACCGGAACAGACGAGCCAAGGAGAACAGCCACAACTATTCAGAGATGGAACAGAGGACTCTGCGTTTGCAAAATACAACGTGCAGGTTTCAGTCCCGCAGTATAGCGAAGGCCAGTACCAGCAGTCATTACAACACAATGACTGGACCAAGGAGGAAACGGATTACTTGCTTGAGTTGGCGCGCGACTTTGACCTTCGATGGCCTCTGATCTGGGACCGCTACGAATGGAATCCTCCCGCGACGAACGGAGAGGCTGATGCCGATGGTGATGAGAGCAAGGCCATCGTTCCAGCAACAAGGCCACGTTCTCTGGAAGACCTCAAAGCAAGATACTACGAAGTCGCCTCCAAGATGATGGCAGCGCAAAAGCCTGTGCAGTACATGACACAGCCCGAATTCTCTTTGCATGAACTCATGGCGCATTTTAATCCACAGCAAGAGAAGTTAAGAAAGGAGTTTGCGCTCAACGCCTTGACCCGGTCGCGCGAAGAAGCTCGTGAAGAGGAATCGCTCTTGCTGGAGATTAAGCGTATTCTGGCACGTAGTGAGCGGTTCAATGAAGAGCGTCGCGAGTTGTATAATCGTCTCGATTATCCTCGGGCGGACACTGATATCAACGCCTTCAAATCTTCTGCTGGCTTGCAGAACCTTCTTCAAAACCTAATGACCGCCGACAAATCCAAGAAGCGCAAGTCGTTGATGCCTGGCGATGGTACCAGCCCTTCTGGCACCGCACCGCCGCAAACGGCGGCTGCTGCATCTACCGCAGCAACCGCCACCGCCGCAGCGCAAGAGGCTGGGAGGCGGGAAAGCACAGCTGCATCCACAGGGCCTCGCGATTCAACTGGACCTGCGGCTACACCGACAGCTTCGAACAACAAAAAGGGTCAGCAACAGCAACAACAGGAGCGCCGTAAGCTTTCAACACAGGAGGAGCTATTGTACGGTGTGACACATCATGATCGATTAGGCTCTGGACCGACTTTCCGAACCGAGAGAATCAATAAACTGTTCTCGCACAAGTCTAATCAGCAACAGAACCGCATCACAAATGTTCTCAACGAACTGGACGTGCCTAACAAACTTGCCATGCCCACCGCGGCTACGACACATCAGTACGAACAGCTCCTTGCGGCTGTCAATAGTCTGCTTGATGCCCGCAAGGTATCTGACAAGCTTGATGCCGAGATCAAAGTTGAACAGGCCAAAAAAGCAGAACGGCAAAAGGCTATGGCTCCCCCTGAATCTGATTCCACCGTCGAAAAGGACAAAGCAGACCAGGAAACAGGGGCCGGCATCAACTCAGAGGCAGAAGATGCTACTGGAGCGACCGCCGGGAAAGCAGATGGCGACGTCACATCTGCACCTGGAGATGCAAACAGGGATGCCTCAGAAACGACAGCCCCTACTATTGAGGCCTCGGACGCCTCGAGCAAAGAAACAGAACTGCTCAATGAAAACGACAAGAACGGGCGTCCTGGTAGCAGCGGTGCCGCGCACAAGAGAAGTGCCAGCGTTCTGAGTAGTGTCAGCGACAAGAGCAACAAAAGACAGAAGAAGTAGGGCAATGCACATGTATCCTCAAAGTACCACGGTACATGGCTCTACGCGCCAGTGACTTGCTGCAGGCAACGCTCCTGCAGGAATACAGGCATCTCTGCACCGACCTGATGGCTAGATCTGCCAGGGCCGGCAGTTGTTGGTTCGAGATATGTCAAAGCACGGATAAGGGCTCCAGCGAGACAGGGTTGCACCTAATTTTGGATTATCTGAGATGGGAGACGCCTAGAGGCCAGGACGTTATACAAACCATCCCTTCAACATATCTTTGCTGTGGTGTAGCGCCGCCTGTGGAGCCAAGCTGTGTGACTGTTCGAGACATTGCATAACCCATAGTCCAGATGTGCACCTTTTGAGGAGGAACCTGGGGTGTGGGCACATGGGCGTCTCGGCCACGTGGGGGAGGAATGATATTGCATCTGCGCATTGTGCTTGCAAACAAGTGCTTCTTCGAAGGACGGACTTGAAACGGCCAGGGATCCGCGCCATTAAAGCATACCGCGAGAGATACAATGGGCGCTAGGGAACATGATAAACAGTAGGAATGAGGTTGTGTTGAAGAACATGCAGCTCATCGGCGGCTACAGTGAGGCTGCATCCTAATTTAGCAACATGTTCCTATTATTATAACTCCAGCTCCCTGGACAGCGACCCGTGTCCCTGGTAAAAGACGACCCCTAGGGCAGACACGATACATGAACGACCAGGGCGTGTAGGCCATCCAACGCCTTGGGCCCGCATGACTTACATACGACATGCTTACTGTCGACCCTCGACTTGCCTAAACGGGCCCAGGAGCGCCAATCGAGTGGCTCAGATCGACTGAGATAGTGCTGCCGCTCCTCTGCAACCTGGCTCTTTGGCGCCGGAGACAAGTGGATGATGATGTTGATGATGGGGTGTGTCTCCGGAAAAGGAGAGTGTGCATGGTCTCTAGATCACAGGAACCTCGTCGAGCAAGGGCCAGCGCTCGCGAAAGATGAAGTCATCTCGAGCGAGACGCCCAGTGTTATACATACATACTTGCATGCTGCATGTTGTGGTCGGGCGTCTATGGTCCAAGAATAGACTCAACTCGTGGCATCCCGACATGCAGGTATGATGATTCGCATCGAAATATCTGATCTAAGATTAGATTGACCCCTGTTAAGCGCCAAGATCTTGGTGATTCTGGAAAGCAGCGAAATAGGATGCGACGCGAGGCCGGCGCTTAGCTGGCGGCTAGCTGTGGACGTATGAAGCATTATTGGACACTGAGCACGTGGAGTTGGCATAGAATCGCTGCCGATGTATTTTTAGATGAAACAAGTGTTGTATAATTAGAAATTCACTTGTCGGGATATATTAAATGGTTCATGACTTGCTTCGTGGTGTTGAGGCTCTTTGAGTGACGTCTTGAGCATCCATCTACACAACACATGATTGGCTGTTGTAATATGCCGGTTCCTCATGGTGCAGCCTGTCATGGAAGCAGGGTCTCCGATAAGTACTGAAGACCCAGGCAATTTGAACATATAATTCAGGTATTATAGGGCTGATTTACGTGCCTCTACACATGATGGCGCTGGAGCACGCCCAGGCATCAAGTCGAGAAGAGACAAGACCAAACAAACATCAGCGTTAGTCCGGGGGTGGCCTCGACGTCCTACTGAATGTTGTCTCCTTTCTCTATGTCTTTCCAGCAGGGATATATCGATGCATTCGGATAAGAGGCGAGAACGCGTGCTATTCAGTGCGCTACCGGCCAACATCATGCATCTCGCATCATATGCGCCGCCGCGGCGTGATGCTACAAAGGACAACGCAGAAGACAGTATTCGGTGCACGATTGTGGCAGAGTGGCATATTTCAAGATAAGGCTTCATAGAGGCCACATCCGATCCAACAAACCCATCGCTAACAAACCATTCAAGGGCTAGGTATCCATGGACTTGGCAAAGCATTACGTGAAAGAAGGGGTTGGCTTCCGCCTTGTTGGTCTTCCGGGATCTCATAGTATGCCGTTGACTGTTTGCGGCTTGGCTCCAACGTGTACACACAATCACGCCACGCTTGATCATGATAGTTACTTCAATTGCACATCTTCCGCGGACGCCGGCGGTACATACTCTCGAGGACGTTTGTGTCGAAACAACAAAGCGCCTAAGCACAGATCTTGATTCCAACAGCCAAGGTCGGGTTTCCTAAATTCTGACTCGAGCTCAGAAGTAATGTCTTCCTTGGGCAGTGTTGAGTGTTGATGGACTAGAATGCAACTCGGCAGTCAACTACACTTCGGCACGCCTTTAGAACCATATTGGCAACGAGAACAGCCCCAGTGCTCGCTATGTTCCGGGCTGGTTACATAAAAGAAAGGGAAAAAAGTTAACATGCCGTATAACATGCAATGATCGCCAACAATACTATCTTTCCAGCCACAGGTTGAGCATACCTATCATATTACCCGCAAGGGTAGTATTCGGACCCGCTGACGGAGTTATTTTTGCCATGCAATGGATGGATGCTCCTTTGGCCTTATCGTGCTGATCAACCACTAAACCTCTGGCCTGCTCTGCCCATGGATCAGATTGGATGAATCACCTCGAAACTGTTTCGCATCATGAGAGAAACTTGGCGAAAATGTGACCTGGAGTGAACACCTTGCTGATTGTCCGAGGTTTGCCAAAACCCCTTGTCAATGGGATGAAGTAGGTGAGTGGAATACGATGCCAGAAACTACCCTCCGCTTCCCCGCGCTTTCATTTCGAAAGTTGCAGCACCGCTGTTGTGAGGTCGCAACCAACACGGCGGTGTGCCTAGGAGAAGACAGAGTGCAGTAATATAGAGCTGGCTATTACCTGCTTGGCCATGGGTTTGGAGATAGAGGCGCTAAAATTCCATCATTCCGTTCTTGGGGCATTAGCTGTCTGCTGTGACAATTTTAGTCACGACGGGCCAGCCCCTTGTCTTCAATAAAGAGCCAATCACAGGTAGGAACCGGCTTGTTTCCATCACAGTGAACAAGGAATAGCTGATAGCGTCCCTGGCCATTGGCGGCACAGGAGTCAAAACGCACAATAGGTGAGTTAGATACTGCAGCTAGATTGAGGCGTGGCAAGCACTGATTTAGATCTGGCCCCAAGCGAAATGTGATGCGTGCACTGAAAGGTCAGGCAGGGAGTTTAGCATTGTTGGTCAATGATGTTCTGCTGGCGGAGAGCAACAAAGACAAGAATAGGAACATCGGCAATCGATGAGCCAATCAAATTCTTCTAGTCTGGGGCATCATGCCGTTAACCATGACGTGAAATGTGACCAGGCATTCGAACTCAACTAACGGCGCGCAGATATTGAAATGTGACAGAGTCCAGGGCCCATGCTGGCTCGCCAGCTGAGACTGAGGATGCTCTCCAGGAATGGGCTGTTTTGAGGGATGCATGCCGGTGCCCTTTTGCGCTTAAGATATTTTTGGTGCTGCTTCAGTTGGGTCGGAATCAAGTTGCGTGGCCACTCATCGCTGACAGAATACGGGCGTGCGAGATCCAGCTGAGCAACTCTCTTGGACATTCAGGAAAGGCCCCAGTATCTAAGAGGGTTATGAGTGTTGGATGAGGCCGCCAAACAAGGGTGACCTCCTGCCTCCCCACACAAATGTATCAACTGTAGAAGTGATTTGAGCTAGACGCAGGACCAGCTTCAATTATGCCAGGAACGGACTGGTATATGATACTGGCATACCCCATAGCACATATGTACGCCCGAGCTGTCATTGCGCGTCTCAGTAGGTAGATTATATCATATAGAAAGCTCAATATCCTGTCTGGCTCGCGCATGTCATTCCCAAGCATCAATCGGCTCACACGGATTGAGGGTGTCCAAAGTCTGTCCGGTAAATTGGAGACTGGGCTAGGTCCTGGCACAGCCGCGGACGGCGGCGATTGTCCGCACGAGACAGGTCTTAGCGTGTTAGACGCGGCGTTAATGGCTCTGTCTCGCCTAAGGTGCCTGGACAGCCACATCCTTGCAAATGCCCTGATCTGGTTCCCGATAGAAGCTGCTCATTGGCCGTTAGGGCGAGGAGGCGCACAGTCCCGACACCACATCCGCCGACATGCGGTGGACGGTATAATAAAGATTTGTGGTTGGTTCGGGAGACACAGTTCGCTTTTCGAAGCCGGTGTTGTTCAAAGTCCAGTGATGTGTACAGAGAAAGGCCTCTCTGATCTCTCACCAGGCGAAAGTGGCCGAGAGAGAGGACAAACAAGCCCATAACGAGATTCAGGAGATCGGAAAGCCGTGGTATAGCGACAAACTTGACTGCCTTACGGATACGTACATTACAGTTAACTACTGGACTGGACTGAAGCTGAAGTTCAGTTGGACGACAAGTGGAGTAGCATCTGGTGTGGTTGCCAGTGCCGCGGCAAGAGCGAACGGGGCGCCGATATTCTCCACCCAACCAACCGTACCACAGGGAAGGGGCCCGTCAGGTTAAGTTTTTGAGGCTAACTTCAAGGGTACTAGCGCTGTTTCCCAGTTAGGTTGGCAGTTCGTCGTCGTTTTGAGACTGTACGAGAAAAGCAGGTGCCAGTTCCTCCTACTAAGGTATATAGGCAATTTGTATACCATTACTTAGAAGTTCGCAAAAGGCTAACTTACCTTGTGCCCTGGAGTTGGGCTTTAGTAGGAGTACAGTAGAATCAACCAAGGTAGGTAGAGAGAAGGAATATCATACTTAGCTTGACGAAGAGAAGTGTCTTGCGATTATTTTAAGTAAATAAATAAATATATAATGAGAATGCTTACATTGAACTCCAGGCGCAATAAGCATACATTAGTAAGGTATCTATCATATATGGCGTCATCAGCAATTATACGTTTTCACAGAAGAGTATTCACTCGAAGGCATGGCACTCATAGAGATCCATGGATATCTAATACAATAGAACTCGTCAAGAAAGCGAGATTACATCAGAAGATAATCAATGATATGCGCTAAAGGATAGCTCCTGTGGGCACGAAGGATTCAGGAAGACAGCTAGCAGCTCTAGTTTGCTCGGTTAGGCTTGTTTGGAGAGTCGCGCGACTAGGTTGGCGTCAGTTACGGATTACAGGAGTCCAACACGAAGTTTTATCTTGCTAGGCTTGTATGCATCCTTCCCTCCCTAGGCAGATATTTCTCTCTAGAGTTGATCTCTTTGGAGGTATACAAGGGTCGCCCATTGGATCCGGGAGTATTACCCCAAGGACGATCCTGGTGCGGGTACTGTACACGCTTGGGGCTGTTGCCGCGTAGGAGCCATCTGACTGGACTGCTGTTATCGAGTGAGGTGAAGTGCTTCTGTCAGAGATCGGCCGGCAGCGGATGGTACTCCTTGATTCAAACCCAAGGTCTGGGGTTTGGCGGCGGCGCCGACAGTGTTATGGGTGGTGATGAGGATAATGGAG